TGTAACCAATTGTCACATTTTGTTTACGTGACAAACCTAATTGGCCGTATCGAGTAGTGGCGGGTTACGTGCTCCAACCCAAAAATAACTGTAACGGAAAACGCACAAAACCTCAGCCCTAACATCGTGGTGCTGCCGCGGTGCCGTTTCGGTGGCGGTGCGAGGAGCCTCTTTCGCCCACCTCTGCACAACCTCGTCGTCCGTCCGCGAGCCCTCGCGGCTCTTGCCCAGGTCCTGCTCCACCGTGGCGTCGCCGTCCACCGTGGAGTCGTCCGCACTCACCGCGGCTGTGGACAAAGGAGGAGGGGGGGACGTAGAGATGCAGTGAGGAGGAGCGTCGAGGCAAGCGGTGCCTGGGGGAGAACAGTGGTCGGTGTGTGCGTGTAGGAAGTGTGGGGAGCGGTAGTGTAGCGGCTAGCGCGCTGCGCTACGAACCTGGGTTCGATTCCCGCTCACGGCCAATGCCAGTGACGATTATTTGAACCGGTCCCATGCCTTCCCTAAGGCCGATTCGGCCTCAAATGAGTACCTGGTGCGATGTTGTAAAAATCGCCACGAGGGAGACAAAGGCGGACGGGCGTGGTGTTGGCTACCCAACCCTCGTGTGCCGTTGCTGACCTTCATAGGTGCTCGCTAACAGTACTTGCCCCAACAGTCTGTGCAGGCTATACGGGGGATCTGTCATGTGTAAGAAGTGGTGGTGGAGGAGGATGGAGAGATACTCGATGGCCGATTAATGATTGAGAGTTGTTCCCTTTTCTAGTCGCGCGCTTGATGGCAATATGCTCAGGTGAGAGATGTCAACTTCTGTGATATTCCCTCAGTTGAAGGGGGGCGCAGACTTACAATGGTTTACGATACGGTCCACGGTTTTGGTTGCGCATGGCCACAATCGCACTGCTGTTGCTCGTCTTTGAGGGAAAGATGCGAGTGGCGAGTATGGAAGTTGATGTGGATCGTGGTTCATGGAGAATGGACATTTAGGATGCGTTGGGAGTTTTATGGGACTTGTTAATGAACCGTTATGAAGCGCAGCGATCGACCATCAAGCTCACTATACAGGCTCAACTTTTGCGTTACTTAATATGGACGTGAATGGGGAGAATTAAGGGGTTGTGGTCATTGGTTGTATATGTAGATGAGGGGATTGCCAAGTTGAACAACGATTATGTAAATTCTGGAAAACTTCGGTTTCATCAGCATTGCACAGCCTCGACCCCCTCCCCGCCTCAAACATTTGCAAAACAATGAACATTTGCACAACTCGAAATTTAACGTGCTCTAAGGCAACAATCCCACTGCATTTTTCCGGGGCATGGAAATTATCCCGAATCGTCACGTGCCCAACTCGTCGTGGCAGTGGCAAGCTTGGGCGAGGCCTTCAGTCCAGCAGTGAATAGAACCTGGCTAGGCGGTGTGCGACGACTGACCACGACAATTCACCGAATCGTCGAGATTCTGGTGGGAGGAGTGAGGGGAAGTCGCGATTCGATTTAAGAACCCTACAAATATTTGTTTTGTTCAACATTTGACACGGTTCTTTACGCGCAATTGTTTTTTGTTGTAATTGGCCATCGTTCAGCAAAATGTCTTTATATTTCACAACGGCGACGTTTGACACGAGGGAAATTTGCGTGCGAAGACGGCACGGAACAGTCTCGAGACGTGGAACATGCTAGAAAGCGTGCGCGCGTTACGCCAGACGAAGGTTAAACGAGGTATTTAATTATACGCTCGTCTATGTTGTTAACCGACGCACGGCGAAGTTTATAACACATTAAAAAAATGAAACAACCGCATACTCACAAAACGTCAGAAGTGCACACAGCAGGCCCACGAGCCACACGCTCCTCGCCATCGTGTTCGGCCTTCAGTCGGGGAAGGAGTTTCAAACGGCGACAAAGGGTTTATATAAATTTGATCACGAGCCGCCTTCGCCGAGACCACAAATTGTTCGCGGCGCGAGTGAAAGTTCGCACGCAGCGACGGAGCCGACTCGCGAGGTGAAGATCCGACAGCCGAGTGCGAGGCGGGCGAGCGCCCCTCGCGCTTATATAACCTCACGCGTGCCCGCCGCGTGGACCAATCGGCGGCGAACACGCACGGCGAGTGGCCAATCGAAGGCGTCCATGTGCGAGCGACCGACGCGCGGGGCCGTGTCGCGCCGCCATTGGCCGCGAGGCGCGTCGAGACGTCGGCGTTTCCCGCATAAATTATGCTAATTTTTGGACGCTGCGTTCACGTTCATTTCAAATGTTTCTGGAGTGATGAGTAATGAATGATGCAAAACTCTCAACCACCTTTCAATCTGAGTACGACGTTATGGCGGTTATTACAGACCAATTCAGAGACAGTATTGCTCAGCCCCCGTGCCCTTATAAATCTCAACGTTCGTCCTACAAAGTCCCATCACAATGGACAAACAAATAGGCTTTTTTTGCCCGTATTGAAACGGCTGTACGCCGTATTGACCTGAAAAACTCAATTCCCCTGTCCAAGAATACGGCTAAACCGTATGTGTTGACAAGTATGATAATGTATTACTGTTGTAATGATTTGCAAGCACGTGTGCTCCTGGATTCCACGCAGTTCTAATACAGGTTCGTTTAACACGTAGGCTTTCGTGACAAATATCAAATATTCGTTAAACCCGCCATAACGTCGTACTCAGATTGTAAATGTTCTTGCTTTGCTCTCCAACACACCGGTGTGCTGTACAAGTAACGAATTGACATGTTTTTCATAATAAAGGTTTTTTGGGTTAGATCGCGTTATTTATAAATGACATGTTCTGTTGACATGACGAAGCTTACTAATTTGGCTGTGTTGGTGGTGGAGGGTTTAACGACACATATTTACGCGATCTAACCCAACAACAAAAAACTTGTATAACTAGCCTTTTGCCCGTCCAAGGATGGGTGTATTGCAGCAAATCTTAAAACTTGCAAACGAAAAGCAGTCCGCGACGTGGTATTAATTGCATGCATTAGTGTGCAATTTGTAAGGGCGCGGTGACAGAGACCAATTAAATTGTAAGGTTACAATCTCTTGTTCATCATTATTTGATGTCTCAACAGCGTTACGGAGATCACGTGACGCGAGGGGTCTTCCTTTGTAGTGAGGGTTGTGAGTTGACGCCGAGGAGGGGGGAGGAGGCGCCTCGCCCCCCCCATGTGGAGTGACGTCACCCGCTAATTATTATGAATGGAGGGGGGTGTCCATTTGGAGGACGTCACCTTATGATTATTAAAGAGGGGGGCTGTTCGATGTGGAGTGACGTCACCTGCTCATGATTATTAATTAGGAGAACTGGGGGGGGTCCATTTGGAGGACGTCATCTACTCATAAATTATATTTAGGGGGGCTGGTCGATGTGGAGTGACGTCACGAGCGTTAAGGACATTCAAGTAGTGATTATAGTCGGTATGGAGTTTTAATAGAATGTTAAAATCACGCTTTCTGAACACAGGCCCAAAACGCCAGGCAACGAACAGCACTTTGTAAAATTGATTGCTGGGCGACAATCCTCTTGAATAATCTCGTAAATGATTCTACTGCCAACGCTGAACTTAATGCTCCACCCCATCCCCCATCTAAATAAAAACGTGTCCACTGTATATTAACCCAGTAAACATAACGACATGGCCACAAATGATAGCTCAACGAAGTGGCTTATCGCGTGGGCGTGGAAATTTATAGCAGCCGCATATTCTAAACGCAAGTTTCTAAATGTGGAGGGAAAAACCGGAGGACTCGGAGAAAAAAAATCCACGCGACCATGGGGAGAGAGACGCGCAAACTCCAAATATACAGCAGCAGGCGTCAGGGTCGGGATCGAACCCACGTACTCGTGCATTTCAGGCGAGGGACTGAACATTTCGCCACCGTGACGCGTTCGAATAGCGATCGTCCACCGCGGGGATGGAGCGATGAAATGCCAAGCTCATCGAGTGTGAGCGGTAGCGGGGAAGTCCTTTGGGGCCCTCTTCCTCCAGCAGTGCATTGGCCGTGACAAATGATGCAAATCTATGAATGAAAACAAATGTAACTCTCTCACGTGTGATTGAAACGCCAAACTGAACACACTAACGTACGGTGCCAAGGCAAATTAGACTGACGTCGCCCTTGCAAATAAGACGGCGCGCGTCTCGTGTTTTCGCCTTGGGGGGCGTCCATAAATGACGTCACGCGATTTTGGACGATTTTTGACCCCCCTCCCCCTCGTCACATGGCGTCACAAAAAGTCAGACCCCCCCCCCTCAAATATGACGTCACAAAGCTCTGCCCCCCCCAACCATATTTCCATTTTGAAAATAAAAAAATGCTTCAAATCGCTTTAAATTATTGTCATTGTAGTGCGTATTTAATGTGGCGCTGCAATCTGATGTTGTAGGAGAAAACATTTACATTAAAAAGTCTATTTAATTTAGTAGAACGTGTTGTCTATATTTCTTTAAAGTTGCGCATTTTTATGTGACGTCATATTTCTCACCCCCCCCCCCCTCGTCACACATCGTCACAAATGGCTGTCCCCCTCCCCCCTCCAGGTGCGTGACGTCATTTATGGACGGCCCCTTATCTCACGAAATCCAACTTGAAACTTGACACGACGGGAATATGAAAAGTCAAAATGGCCTCGTGAATTTCAAAAGGCCATTTTAATTAAAAACAACACATACAGCTGTGCCATGTTACACACGTGTGTTTTGATCAAGATATTGCAATATGGTGATAAAAAAAACATTCTAGAAATCGTAATACTGTACATAAAAAAATACTGTACTGGAATTAAAATTAAAATATGAAAAAAATATGAATACAACGAACACCGTGATTCAAATAAAATTATATATTTGTGGCAAAATATATGAACATCAATAACCATTTTGCAAATAAAAAATTTAAAGCAAATAATTGTTTACACCAAGAGTGGGAATCGAACCCGCGGTCTCGCGCGCCGCCCACCCGGCTAGCACGCGGTTCTCCCCCCCCCACCTCCACCCAATGCATCGCCGCGCTACATCCAGTTCCGGGTCAGGGGTCACAACTTCCTCTTCTTCCTTGGCGACCACGTTGCCTCCTCCGCTGCAGCCATGAAGAGACCGAGTGAGTTTCATCGCCTCGGCCCTCGCTCCTTCATTACATTCGCGCCGCCAGCTCCCCGATGGCGCCGTGGAGGGAAAGGGGACGAGGGCCACGACCGGCGAACTTCAGGCCATGCCCCCCGCGTGCCCGTAGCGGCCCCGGTGGTTCAGGATAGGCCGTGCGGTTTAGGCCCCTGCGCATGGAGCGTGCCGCACGAAGGCTGTTTGGGGTTCGAGTCACTGTGATGCGTTAGGGACACTTACGTTGGGTCATGACTTTAACTCTTAATTAAATGGATGGGTTAATTGAGAATCCCAATTCGTGTTTTTTATTAAGGTGAGTGCATCCGTTCAGGATCGTCATCGTCAACCATGGTCAATCCACTGTTGGATGAAGGCCTCTAAAAGCCGTCGCCTCTGTTGTTGGGTTTTTATCTCACGTGCCACCATCACCCGTGCCCTCATCACCCATGCCCTCACGTGCGACCATCACCCGTGCCCTCACGTGCGACCATCACCCGTGTCATCACGTGCGACCATCACCCGTGCCCTCACGTGCGACCATCACCCGTGTCCACACGTGCGATCATCACCCGTGCCCTCATGTGCCACCATCACCCGTGTCATCACGTGCCCTCATCACCCATGCCCTCACGTGCGACCATCACCCGTGTCCACACGTGCGATCATCACCCGTGTCATCACGTGCGACCATCACCCGTGTCATCACGTGCGACCATCACCCGTGCCCTCACGTGCGATCATCACCCGTGCCCTCATGTGCCACCATCACCCGTGTTATCACGTGCGACCATCACCCGTGCCCTCACGTGCGATCATCACCCGTGCCCTCACGTGCGATCATCACCCGTGCCCTCACGTGCGATCATCACCCGTGCCCTCACGTGTCTTGCTCACCTGCGTCGTCACGTGCTTTCTCACCTGCGCAATTATACTTTTACTAATGACCCATGTCCTCACCTGCACTCGCTTGCGTCGCCTCACCTGTATAATGTAGTTCCGAACGCTCTTACATGTGCTCTCGCCCATGTGATCGCAACTGCTCGCTGTCATCTGCCGCGCCAATTCTCACCGCGACCTCACCGGTATCTTCTCGTCCGTACCCACCACGCAGAGCTGAAGAAGGCGAGCAAGCGCATGACCTGCTCCAAGCGCTTCAAGATCCAGAAAAAGGCAAGGAACGGTTTCTGCGCGCGACCGGAACGAGCAAGGGAGGGGAAGGGCAGCTGCGTGGTCATTTGCGAGGAGATTCAACTGATTGGCTGCTGGGCTGGCCATCTACGGAGTGGTGGTGCAGTGGTTAGCGCACTGCGCTACGTACCCGATACCCGAGTTCAATTCCCGCTCACAACCAACGTCAGTGTTGAAAATTTGAATTGCTCCTGGGCCTCTTTGGTCGACTCGGCCTCAAATGAGGACCTGGTGCAGTGTATAAACATCACCACTGGAGAGACAACAGCGGCTAGGCATGGTGTTGATCACACTGCCTCCTAATGCGCTGTGCTGGGATTCATCGGCATTAGTTTGCCCCAATAGCCTGTTTAGGCTACACGGGGGACATTTGTATGTTTTCATGTGTGTTTGCGCCCGTATGCATGTGTTTGGGAGTGTGCGTGCTGCGTCGGGTCTATGTACGTGTCCACTAACGTGCTTAACATCTTTTGTGTGTGTATACGCGTGTACTTCTCTCCGTCCGTTCCCACGCTCGACCCAGGTCCGCGAGCACAAGCGCAAGCAGCGCAAGGAGGCGAAGAAGAAGAAGGGAACGGGGGCAGGGAGCGCCGCGCGACGAGCTCGCAAGGACCCCGGCGTGCCCAACTTGGCGCCGTTCAAGGACGCCGTCCTGCGCGATGCCGAGTTGAAGAAACAGCAGGTGGGGCCCATGGACGGACGAACGACTGGGAAACGATGGAGAGCATCAGGGGTGCCATAGGGGGTTGAAATGTCCGAACCATGGCGGGGGGGGGGGCTCATAGCAATACAATTTCAATCCAACGTGGATTTTTCAGTCGTCTTTGTCCGACACAATTTAGTCCACTCCTGAAGGAACTTCCACAAGCCGTCGCCCTCTCGCACAGTCCTGCGCACTAACAATCCACCTAGCGCAGGCAAACAAACTCGTGCTCATCTGTGTGTTCACCTGTGTGTTCACCTGTGCGTGTGTCTCTGCGTGGGAGCAGGCAGAAGAGCTGAAGGCGAAAAGGAAAGAGGCAAGGCAAAAAGAGATGCAGAAGAAGCGGGATGAGCGCAGTAAGAGAACCGAGCGCAAGACGGATCGCCTCTCCACAAAGGTGCACACACAAAGACAAAGATCCCCCGTATAGATTTAACAGACTGTTGGGGAAAGTGCTGTGACCAAGCAGCTATGAAGGCTGGCACGGCACACGAGGGGGTGGGTGTCCAACACCACGCCCAGCCGCCTTTGTCTCCCTAGTGGCAATGTTTACACACCACATCAGGTACTCATTTGAGGTTGAGTCGGCCTTAGGGAAGGCCCAGGACCGGTTCAGGTAATCGTCACTGATGTTGGCTGTGAGCAGGATTCAAACCCGGGTCACCAGATTCGTAGTGCAGCACGCTAATCGCTACACTACCGCTCCCCACATGGGTACACACATACACACACACACACACGAGTACACCCGAACAAACAAAATCACGCAGACGTGGGGCTGTGGTTACGCTGTTTGAGCATCTGTCTCTTTGTCTCTGTACAGGACCCCGTGGCTATGAAGACAAAACCAGAGGCTTTGAACAAGAGGCTTCTGAATGAGCTGCACAAGGCAGGTGGAGTGATCGGGAGGGATCTCATCATCGTCATTAGCAGTAGCAACACCATTGTCACCTGCCTTACATTGGACGTTATAGATCCCGTAATGTTATTTTTTTTAAAGTAGGCTATGTGCGCTATCGGTGAATATTTAAAAAGTCTACTTACATATTACCCAGTTGAGTAAAAAAAACTCATCCATTGCAATTGTGCATTATGGGTAAACCAGACCTTATTATCAAGCAGCATTTCTTTCAAAGAAATGCAGCAGTACATTGGGTAAACCTGCTTAAGAGCCATGGAGTAGATATCGTCCCTGACTGACACTACGGTACCGGTCTGTGGCGCATAGCTCATCCTCACGGCAGCGGCTTTTGGCTAACCAATGAACAAAGACGGTCACCGCATCGCTCCCTTTCAGATGGGATTTTGCAGCCGTCTGGAACACTCTTCCGTTATTACAGAACGACCGGAGCAATGCACTTTTAAATCTAGATTGAAAACTAATTTATTGAGAACTGCTAGTTGTGTTTAGTTTGTTGTCCTTCCCCCACACCTTTGATTAGCACGGTCAGCTATGTGCGATGCGAAATAATTCCACGAATGGCAGATGTGCTAATGAATTGATTTGTGTGTGCGATGGTGGTGGTGACGGTGCTGGGCAGGTGCTGGGCTTGGCGGATGTGGTGCTGCTGGTGCTGGATGCGCGCGACCCCCTCGGTTGCCGCTGCCCCCAGCTGGAGCAGACGGTGCTGGAGGCGGGGAAGCCGCTAGTCTTCCTGCTCAACAAGATCGGTGAGCGCCACGATCCCATTCCCTTTTTCACCGCACACGACCGCCTAGAGCCAGCAACGTCGCCAGCGTTCGCAGTCGGCGCAGGTGCAGCCCTGCAACCGCTTGCTCACCACCACTGCTCGCGAAAGGGCCCCCGTGAGAGGGAGATCTATAGAGGGTTCCTGTAGACAATTTTTCGTCTAATCTTTCACTCTGTGCCAGATGGGTTTTGTAACACGTCTATTCATAATGAATGCACTGCTGGATGAAGCCCTCTCCATGCCATATTGGTGATGGGGGGGTGAGTATACTTCACCACGCTGGTCACTGCCAGTGAATGGAGAGTGATATCTGGCCCAGTCTATCCTCCCCTCTCTCTTCTGGCCATGGTTAACATTCCTCTCCCACTGTCCCCCCGCCAATTTTGTCTCTCTCTCCTGCCCTCCCTCTGCCCTCCCTCTGCCCTCCCTCTGCCCTCAGACCTGGTGCCAAAGGACAGCGCAGAGAAGTGGCTCAGCTTCCTGGGCAGGGAGCACCCCACTGTGCTTTTCAAGTGTTCCACACAGCTGCCGGGCATTGGGGTACGATACACTTTGCACCGCCACTCGCACTTCTGCTGCATTACTTGCACTATCACTCGCACTACTGCTGCACCATTTGCACTGTCAGATCAGATCACAATATTTCTCCTGGAGAAATCCGATGAGCCATGAAGCTTTTTTTCATAGATGTCACTTACACTACCACTCGTACTACTGCTGCACTAGCACTATCACATGCACGACTGCTGCACTACTTTAACTGCCACTCAATCTACCACTTGCACTACTGCTGCACCACTTGCATTACCAGTCACACTACCAGTCACACTACTGCTTGCATTACCTATTGCCTTTCGCAAAGTGTCAAGGGCAAGAGGTCATCATGGCCAATCCCTTTGCTGTTGGTACCCCACCTCGCCATCGCTTTCTTCCACCTGCCAGTGCCTTTTATAGTCCAGTACGGCCACAAACATCAACACGAAACAGGAATGCCATGGTCCAGTTGACGGTGATTGATTGGTACTGTCGTTTCGCTGGCACGGTGCAGGTGAAGGCACAGCTGCCCGGCAGTGAAGTGCTGGTGAGCCGCAGCGTTGGCGAGGAAGCGCTCACAAGGCTGCTGCTCAAGTTGGCGCAGCACCACCACAGCCCCATCTCCAGTGGTGGCAGCGGCTCCAAACACTCCAAGCACTCCAAGAACTCCACCACCATTGAGACCGCCACTACTGACACCACTGCCGCTGGCGAAGACACCGCAGACGCTGCCGCCGCTGCCGAAGTTGCCGCCGAAGACCCCACCGCCACCACCACCCCTGCCGTTGCCGCCACCGCATGCCGGGTGGCCGTAGTAGGTGAGCATGACTGAGACATCTCCCCGCAATGGCCCGCATATTACGCCGTGGCATGGCCGATGCGGCCACCTGATGCACGAACGGCGCATCAAAGGTTCGGCGGCCTGCGAGTGCGGCCACGAATACAAAACCATCGACCACATTTGTGAACACCCCGCTGCTGTCTTCACTCCTTTAAAGGAGAAATAGACGAGATACATTTTGTTTCTGAACAAACAATTGAGTGGATAACAACATCTAAAGTTACATCTTTAATCTGCTGTTGTTAATCCAAGATTTCGCCGTGGCGGTGCAGCCCCCTCGGAATCAAACCCAGCACAGTATCTGACCGGGCCTCCTTGTGTAACCATGAAAATTGCCTCCGCCCCCCCCACCACCCCTGCTCACTCTTCCCCCACCGTTTCTTCCCCGTGTGCCGCGCTAGGGTTTCCGAACGTCGGCAAAAGCAGCATCATCAACAGCCTGCGGAAGACGCGCCTGTGCAACGTGGGGCCCAACGCGGCCGTCACCAGGTGTGGCCCGACACGGTAGCGCTTCGCTGATGTAACTGCGACCCGGGACTTGAAAAAATGTTTTTTTTATTCTCATGAATAAAGCTTCAAACTCGTGTCAGACAGCGCAGCGTCATTACCCCGAAGATGATGAGTTTTAAGCTGCGAATATTGCAGCGTTTAAATGCTGCCCACACGTCTCCACAAGCACGCAACCCTGCAACCGCATAACCTCGTCACTGTACAGACCTGTAACTGCGCGGCCCTGCAACCGCATAACCCCGTCGCCGTGCAACCACGTCACCGCGTGACGGTGTTTACACTGAATGCCCCGCGCAGGACCATGCAGGAGGTGTGCCTCGACAACCACAGCGTGCGGATGCTGGACTCGCCGCCGGTGCTGCCGAGCGCCGACAACGCCGAGGTGGCGCTGGTGCTGCGGGGGCTGCACGCCGGCGGCGTGAACCTCGGAGACGCCGTGCGCAAGCTCGACGCCATCCTGGAGCGGTGCAACATGCAGCAGGTGCCTCCCCGCGGCCGCCCGTTAGACGGCGACGCCGAACCCGGCGGTCCGAGGCAAACGACAGACGGCACCAACGACGCGCGAATCGATTCGCGAGGCCGCACCCGTTACCCCCCCCCCCCCCCCCCCCGAGCCATGGCCATTCCGATGCGTTTTTTGCGGTTGCGCGTGCTGCGCGTCGTTAAGTTAACCTCCCGTCCGCCATCACAGATCATGCTTCACTACATGGTGCCGGATTTCTGCAACACGAGCGAGTTCCTGGAGCTGCTGGCACGGCGGCGCGGGCACCTCAAGAAGGGCGGCGTGGCGGACCACGCGGCGGCCGCCAGGGCAGCGCTCTCCAGCTGGCTGTGGTGCGTGTGGCGACGTGCTCACGCAGCACACACACGCACGCAACATACACACACACACGCAACACACACACAACACACACGCAACACACATGCAACACACACATGCAACACACATGCAACACACACATGCAACACACACGCAACACGCACACGGGAGACAGGGCAGTCTTCTTCAGCTGGCTTTGGTGCGTGTGGCGACACACACGCATTGAACACACATGCAACACGCGCAACACACACACGCAACACGAGACAGGGCAGTGCTCTCCAGCTGGTTGTGGTGCGTGTGGCGACACACAAATCAAAGGTTGTCGTATCACCTGAATAGGCTTTTGGGGCAAGTGCTGTCAGCAAGCACCATTGAAGGCCGGCACTGCATGCCAGGGGACGGGTGGCCAGATATTCGCCACAGTTTTTGGTCACGAGAGTGAATAAAACTCGGCTCACCGGATTCGTAGCGCAATGCGTAAACCACTACACCATTCCCCTTGTTTGTGCATATATATGGACACAAAGGCAAAGCGCTATCCAGCTGGCTATGGTTTGTGTGTGTGTGTGCATGGGCAAACGTGATGCAATCGGGCTGATGCGACGCTATCGTTGTGACTTGCGTCGCAGTGGGAAGCTGAGTTTCCACACGAGCGTGCCGGCGGATCTGGCGGCCACCGAGACCACGAAGAAGTCGCAATCCCCCCTGCACTACGACCGTGCCGCGCTGGACACTGCCAACGCCGACACGCTGTCACGTGAGTCTTGACCATGTGCCGCGGTCCCTTGCCCACACCCGCTCACATCCCCCGCATGTAGTTTGGCGCGGTCCCCCGTGTAACCTACATAAGACGGTTGGCGCAAATGATCCTTATGGCGATACCCCCGGGGTACCAAATAATACATAATGGGCCGAGGCAATTAAATGTTATTTCTGGGACACTATTTTTTCCAGGGGTGTACTTAACTCCGCGACTGTGGTACCAATCAATCCGAAATCGGTGCCACTCCGCGATGTCGAAACGCCAAACATTAGCATAAAAAAATCCGTTATCGAAAATTCTACTTTGAACAGTGCATCGTGTACAGCTCGTCCAGATGAGTTCGATTGCCGCATCGCTGAACATCAACAGACTAAAAATGACTGCATCACGGACATTATGCGAGGGCCGGGGTACTATGGTACCCCAGGGTACCGGCATAAGGTTCAAATGCCGTTATCAAGCACTCATTAAGCCGGTACAAACACACCGACGCAGAGACGTGCGAGCTAGTGTTGCCGCAGCATTATTTTTCATGGTACACTGCGCAATTAATGGCATTGCTCGATTTTATGATCGACACTTTCCAACGAAGGTAGAAAGCGTCGATGCGTCAGCTGTGTCTGCCCTTCTGCCTTGTCCTTCTGTAATGTGGGGTAAGCGATAACTCGTGTCAAGATGATCCAATACACATTCAATGTTCGTATATAGTTGCGTCGCTGTTAGGGGTTCACCCGAAAGAAAACTGGCCAAAATGATCAAATCAATGCCCCAGTAATCGGTAATACAATCATGGCAATAATGTAACGAGTGAGCGGTAGCGCAATTATTGAAGTTCAATGCCCCGGTCACCATTTGTGATAGCCAGTGGACCTTACCTGCTAACATTTTTTTTATTGTTTAGTTATAGTTTAAATGCCCGCGACGACATCATCGCTCATGACAAACGACTCAATTGAGATCACACACACACACTCATCATCGCCCCCTACTAGCAAAGTGAATGCCCCCAGGTCACTATTGCATCAGACTCTCCTGGGCTCCTCCGACTCCTCACTTGGGCAAACAAACGTAAACTTGAAACGTTTTTATTCGCGCCCGTGCAGGGTGCCGCTTCCCCATGCCGGCCGGGAGCATCGCTCTGAAGGGCTACGGCTCGACCAAGGGGGTCCTCGACGACCTGGAGCTGCAGCAGCTTCAGCAGCAGCTTCAGCAGCAGCAAGCAGTAACAGCCAGTGCCAGCAAAGGGCAGGAGCAGCAGCAGCAGCAGCGGAATGGCAACAAAGTCCAGAAGGTCGAGGACAACAAAGACGAGAAAATTGAGGACATGGCAATAGATGAGGAAGATGATGACGATGAAGACGATGAAGACGATGAAGACGATGATGACGATGATGACGATGATGACGATGATGATGATGATGAAGACGATGATGACGATGATGAAGACAATGATCATGAAGACGACGATGCGGAAGAGGTGGGTTTATTTCTGTTCTGCACTCAGTCGGAGCCTTTATTTAGCCAGGTGAGAGCCCAAATTCAAAGAGAATGAAAGCTCAAATTAAATATAATTATCTAAATTAATAGACAAATTATTATCAGCCTAAGAAAGAATTGATATTTATGCAATATTCAAACCAGTAAATGAAAGCAGCACCGCCCTATACTAAATAATTATCTTCCCTTTCGATATCCACTGCTGGATGAAAGCATACTTCACCATGCTGGTCACTCTTGGTTGGTGAAGGGGGGGGTTAGGGGGCCCAGTGCTGGTTCAGATCTCGCTCGCCACTGATGTTGGCTATGGGTGGGAATCTCACTCTGGGTCGCCGGGTTCGCAGCTCATGGTGCACGAACCTATATTTTACTCGCGAGGAGCAGCGGTTAGCCGTGCCCTGAACCCGGTGGTAGCCCAAATTCTGGCTGCCACCGACACCACCACGAACACCACCAGAAGTGGCAGTGAGTGACACGGGAGCCCGTCCTGGGACTCGCCCTCCACGTGTGTGGACGCTCCACGTGGCCATGGTGCTCGGACAGGATACGATAATTTGAGGCTGGGTCGCTCCTGAAGATAAGTTAATACCTCGGTGGATTTACCTGGTAAGATAAAACAAATGTATTTGTATATTTTTTAAGTGATTTGTTTGCCTTTCCTATACTTCCTGCACTCCATGTCGTGTTATTGTATTGTTTGTTGTTGTAACGTTCTGACCCCGTGTGCCCCTACTGGACATCTGTGAAAAAGAGCTTTATAGCTCATCGGATTCCACCATTATAAATAAATATTCTGTATTCACTACTCGTCGAGTGGAGCAAAGCGTAGCTCTCGGGCAAACTTGATGGGGCGAAGTGCATTCAAATCACCGACGTAATGTATCGTAGATGCAGAATTACCGAGTGCTTTGAGAGGCGTAATGTTTTTGCCGAGCAAGGAGTTACAAATATAATGAAATCACGTGATTAAATTGTACGAAGTTTGGGTGCTGGCCCCATGCATGTTGAGCCACGGTGCAACGTTGTTGCTTTTGCAGGTCACGGCGGAGGGGAATGGAAAAGCGGCGATCGCTCCTGGGCCTGGTGGTGATAACGGTGAGACTGGCAGGGGGTATGGAGGGTGGGAGAACCTGGGCCGGTTGTCGGCCGCTGTTTGCGACACCGCTAAGTGCAGGGGGTCAAAGGGTTGCCATCTTTCGTTAAACCTGAACGGAATCGTCGTCGGCCATGATGTATCCACTGCTGGCCTCCCCAGGGCGTCGCCATTCCTAATGGTCACACGATTCAACAATCCACCTAGTTCCTGCACGCGAGACATTAAGCCATAATATCGCTTTTTTTGGTATTCTTTGGTTCTTTCGGTAAAGTCACGTAGATATACAAATTTTAATAAAGGGGGAAAAAATATTTATTATATTATTTTTATTCACTTTCTTTTTTTCGATCTACGTGACTTTACCGAAAGAACCAAAGAATATGAATTCCTGCAGTCACGAAAGTTTTTAAGTCAAAATTTAGGTTTTTTGGGTTAGATCACATAAATGTGTCGTTGCAGGAGCAGTGACGAGGACACCACTCGGCAGGACGCGGGCTGCTACCGCTGCTGCCGCTGCTACTCCAGCTGCCACAAAGACCGCTCCTCCGGCTGCCACAAAGACCGCTCCTCTGGCTGCCACAAAGACCGCTCCTCCGGCTGCCACAAAGACCGCTCCTCCGGCTGCCACAAAGACCGCTCCTCCGGCTGTCACAAAGACCGCTCCTCCGGCTGCCACAAAGACCGCTCCTCCGGCTGCCGCCCGTGCTCCCAACGACGATAGTTACGACTTCGCCACGGACTTCTACCTGTGATGGCCGGAGTTGGTCGCTGCTTGCACCTCGTTTCCACAGGACAGTGAATTCAAGTCTACTCGCATCCACCTCCAGTTGCCCCCCCTTGCTCGTGGTATCTGAGTTGATGGACAAATCGAGTCTGTTAACAAAAAAAGCGGGAAAAAAATTCCGACAGGTTAATTTTTATGTTTCGCTGTAACGTGTTTGGTGATGTGAATCCTCTCGGACCTCGGCTCGCATTCTGACGTCGGGGATCCGGGCAGAGCCCTAGGAGCAAAATCAGCCCAGAAAAATCAGTCTCAAAAAACAACAGGGATTGCCGGGCGACTCGGGTTTGTCTAAAGAACATGAAAACTCTGTGTTAGGTGGGGGGGGGGGGGGTCAACTCGGTTACCAACTTGAGTTCTGCATTCATTTAAACGCGATACGAGAGGCCTCGGTTATTGCCTGTGCACACGCGCGCACACACACACGTGGTGCCTCTCAAAAGGGGGACTGCGCCAACACCCTGGCCGCCACCGATTCTCCCGTAATGTTCTGCGCCTTCTGTGCGTCCGTTTTTATTTTTGCCAATAAAGTGACGCCGTTATTGGAGCTGTTACCTTTGTGCCTGCGTTTTGTCCTGGAGGTGTGAAGCAGGTGGTGATGCCGATTGTTGCTCTCACGACCTCTAATTAGATCATTAAACGGGCTCTAAGTTAAGATTAATTCGGCTTTGTGTGAGATGAGCTTACCTCTGCAAGGGGAGAGGAAATGTGGTAAATGTTATGATTAAACCCTGATCTCAACATTACCCAAACATTTTTTTCTTATGGTTACTCAGCGCAGGTGTGACTAAAGCACCCACTGCATAAAACAGTTGTTATAGGTTGCTGCAGGGCTACATGAAGGGCAGTAAGAGCCGTTGTACTGTTCTTCTCCATGTATGCCTTCACTGACTCCCGTGGCCAGGTTTGGTCAATTCCTGCACAGCACGGAATAATGAAGGGCTGTAATTAAATTACCTCCATTCAAGTTGTGCTTACAGCAACCGCAGGAAACCATTTGAAACGTTTTCTATCAATGAAGCTCAAGATCAGTTCACCCTGAATGTGCCAAATCTAATCCGACTCTCAGAAGCTAAGCAGAATAGAACCTGGATTGTGATTGAATGGATGGGCGATCACTGCACAACGCAGGTGTTAAGGGGCACTGCAGAAAATTCCATTGCTGTACTGTGCAATATGCTTCCACATCTTTGCTTCCCGCCTTTACTACCGACCAGCGTGGGGAAGTATGCTCAAATAACCAACAATTAGGGTGGTGTGGGGAGACCCTCATTTTACTTCTAGAAATGTGAAGAGCTTCATAACTCATCAGATTCCTCCAGTCTAAAGATATCTTTTTTTTCTGAAACTCAGGTGACCAGGGCATAGATTCAGCTGGGTCTGACCCAGAAAATATGTCTATACCTTCTAGATTTGAAGCTTTCGTGACTGCAAGGATTCATACTCTTTGGTTTTATTCGGTAAAGTCAGGTAGGTACGTGACTTTACCGTAGGTACGCGACTTTACCGAATAAAACCAAAGAGTATGAATCCTTGCAGTCACGAAAGCTTCAAATCTAGAAGGTATAGAAATATTTTCTGGGTCAGACCCAGCTGAATCTATGCCCTGTGTGCCACGTACCTACGTGACTTTACCGAATAAAACCAAAGAGTATTTCTATACCTGGCACACGTTCTTCTAAATATACGTAAAAAAATTCTTATGAGAATGGCTTTTTGCATTAATACTAAATTGGGGGGATGTTTGTCATTCCAACTCTACTAACCTAACACGCATACACCTATATCTCTTTTCACAATACAAAAATAAAGAACAAATATTAAAATGGTTGAATATTTTTTTTGTTAAATATAATTCACATTTTCCGGGAACTTCCCAAGAGATCTGCTGCATGTTGGTATGAATGGAGAGGTAATGGAGACATTGCTGCTGCACTGCAAGGACAGTGTAGCGCCGTCACGGATGGGTGACGGCAGCCTCCCGGTGGCATCTTGTTTGATGCCCTCATGGCGTGTGCCACCCGAAATTTCGTTCCCGCGGAAATGCGATTTCGTTCATCAAAAAGTGTCCACGCGTTGTCAATTGCGACTCCGCGAAATTTGGTAACGCGAACGATTGGGAAATCAAGCGATACCTGTACCACCCTCTCACTATGGCTGTAAGTCGCATGCTACCTAATCAGTCTTATCAGCGACCAGAAAACATTCGGAGAACTTCAGCCAGTCAGTGGTTCTTAACCTGGGGTGCACGCACCACCAGGAGGTGCGCGACATGGCCAATTTCTTTATAAGGTAAATTTTAAAAAATGTAAGCACGGGCACGCAAGTACAACTACTTTGTTTCATCAAACCTATGTATTAACATCCTTTTTTTACGATTGAGAACCAAAGGCTACAGTAAAGGTTAAGAACCACCGACTTAAGCCCTCCAGGACCACAACCAACAACTTGGAGCGAAACAAACCCTCAGCGCAAACACCACGGGAATGGAGAGGCAACCAAAGTTCATATTTATTGTGTTATCTACAAGATTGTACATGGAATGGAGAGGAAAACCCGTACGAGCAATGGGCGAGCGCCTCGGGTCGTCAACTCGCCCCTCTCAACCCCCCACAAAACCTCCACCGCGGCTCGTGAAAAACCGGCGTTCGATCGTCCAGCGGCGTCCACCATTTGCGTGCCAAAAGACGCCGCGGCATGTTTTGCCCCGGTACTGGAAGCTTCAGGCGAGTGCGAGCACGCAGCTCGCGAACGCACGCCAAGGTCAGGCGCACGCTAGGATTCGCTTGTCGTTCTTCTCGATACGATTTAGTGGTTGTAGCCAAGCCCCTCCTCATTTTGACCACCACCGCGTCGCAAAATATGCAAATATGTTTACCAGTTTATTTTCGTTTTGTTTTAATCAACGGATAAAAATCAACGGCCGCTCGAGTTCACTTCGCGCTGGAACACAGCTCTCCCGACTGGCACATTGTACGGGTCCCGTTGTGCGTGCCCCATAAGAGTCTAAGCAACGGCACCAAAGTGGGAAAACTCAAGTCCACTTGGGGAATAACTGGGACAAAACGCAGTGAGAGTTACGAGTTTAATGAGGTAGAATAGAGGCCATGCGGGCAAATTCTGTGCGTTAGTCCAAACCACGGCTGGTGTTGTGGAAGGGACCCAAAAGAGAGTGGAACACAAAATCTCCAAAAACCAACCCACGCACACCCCTCCATAAAATAACTCAGGGGAACTCCAAATGTGCAATCACTCTTCCCGAGTCTACAGGGCATAGTCAGTCTGGACTGGTCACTCAGCAGATGGCATTTTCTTATTTGAGAACAGTATCTTAAAAGTGGATGTAGTGTTATCAAATTTGATAGCAACATTTCCTTGATGACTTTCACAGCAGCTAAAGGCAGCTTTCTTATTTATCCCACCTCGTGGTTGATGCTAAAGCTCAACTACTTTGTTAAACTGGGTTATTTAAACCAGCTTAGGTTTACCTCAATCTTAAACCGAACATTAACAAAGGTCATTCATGTTTCAATTGGCAAAAATCAAGAAAAGCTTTGAATTGGCTTCAGGCTCAAATGGTAACATATGCCTCATTTGTGATAACAATGTGGTAGGGGATGAAGGAGGACATTGAGGTCTCCCAAGTGGTGATGCCACTTTTTCACTGCCCACACAACAACGCTGTCTTGAGATACAATCCAAGTTACAACCAATCTCTTGTGGTACGATCAATCTTACGGATTGCCTGTCTGCCTGCCTGTGCATGGCTTTTCAAAACAACGTGCACAATGGCATTTTCACATCAACCTGTCTTAACATATCACCTTACGGACTATTTGAACCACCTGCCACACGTCCTATTTGTACTACGGTGCACCTCACAAACTGCCTGCTCTCATTATGTCGCACCTAATGGGTCCGTTCGGGTTCTCGCATCCTGCCCGGCGGTGGCGCGGCGCCCGCCCCAGCCTCTCGCCATTGAGAAGCTCCCAGTACCGGGGGCAAGCCCGAGCGTTTCTCTCCGCCGCAGCAGGCTCGCTCCGCGGACGACGCGATGGCATTGCCGCAATGGCTACGCCGCGATGACAGTGCCGCCCACACCGCGCGCTGCCCGGGTGAGGTACGATACGGCAAGGCGCGAGGGGAGGAGGTGGCGACGGCAGAAGAGCAGGGGAGGCACAACGCCGCCGGCGCCGCCTTCCCAGCACCGCCACCGTCCCCACCCTAACATGCAGGCTGTACTCTGCCACTTTACACAACTGGCGTGCGTGCGCGAGTGAGTGTAGCAGTTATTCCACTCGGGAGTCAGGGAAAATAAAGGAGCAGGCTTCCCTCTAACGAGTCGCACAACGGGACAGGCTAAGCGGCTTCAACGAATGAGCGCCCTTGAGAAAATGTTCTCAAACAGCGTTTGGTTTAAAACTAGAATCTCTGCTTTGCCTTAAAGAAACATTAGCAGCAGCTAGAGGGCAGCCAGAAATGTCGATTGAACAACAAGGTTGCAATGTATCTACTGGTGCAGGTTGAGTATAATAAACATTTTCTGGAGATAAAGTTGCAGCCATCGCTTTCGAGAGCATGGCTGGAAGCGATGGGTCTATGGGTCTTGTTAATTGCAAGGAGCCGGGAAAGCCGACAACGATTCATGCCGACGAGTTCTAAAACTTCCAAGGCTTGCCGCACGTTTCCCCGAGCCTGTGCACCCATCACTCAACGTAAGCCCAATGTAGCTTTTTTTATCCACATAGCCGCCCGTTGTGACGCAGGACCGCAGTCGCGCTGTCAAAGAGCACGTATATTTGTTTCGATCTTCTGAGAAACGTAATGTGTAACGAATACGGGTATGCCGGACTGTCAACACCGCTAGTTACGCAAGTTAGGGGAGGTCTTTATGTGCTCGAGTCTTCAGCCAGATCCACACCGCTCTTGAAACTTGCACAAAAATCGCCTGCAACTGCTTTGACGAGAACTGAACGAGCAATTGTGCAACAGGGAAATTAGACAGTGCGCATTCCAGATCGTAACGACTACTCACAGTTCACAAACGTGCACGTTTTGAAATGTTGCTAGAGATCGCTTCTCAAAAGTCGTCCGTCTCTAAGCAACTAGTTGCGCACACGTAAAGCGATTCAGTTGCATGCTAACAAGTTGCGCAACCGATTTCTCAGGTGCGGAACCGGCTTTAGGGCCGAGGCGGTGGCGGGGGAGAATTTTTCCAAGTCCGAGTTTTCAGGCCAAGTTGCAAACACCTACACACGTCGTCTGTGCATTACACCACTAAGCTGGCGCGGAGGCAATGGGGTGCGAGTGTTTAAATTGCTGGCCCGGCAGATGAGAAGGTAGTGGCGCTGACTTGACGCGGTGTTCAAACACCGGGCGTTCAGTTTTGGGCTGAGTGGATCCAGTGGAGGCCCAAACTACTATTCAGGAGTTTGTCTGCATCAAGCGTGACGTCAAATCAGTACACCGTGAGAACGCAGCATCACTACCGCCTCGTCGAAAGGCGCCTCGACTCGTTCATTGCATCTGACCACCTCGCTCCCTCTGAGCCGTGATCGTCACCCTCCCATCTCCCACGTGCACTGTCAGATTTGATGTCAGCGCAACCATAAGCATCCAAAACCCCCGCCACCCCCACTCCACTGAGATAGCCCTTTGTGAAATCAACACCTTTACAGAATGATCCCTCCCATTCCCCCACTCACTCCGTCACCACCACCATCGTCCTCTCCCGAGGGTCTCCAAAACAGCAGCCGCCTCCGGCAACAGCCGCAATAGACAGCAGAACAAATTGGCGCATGGTCATGCCCGAGCACAGCCAATCGTGCAGCACAATGTATGTAGGCCAGTGCCGAGTATCGCGGCCCAGGATTGGCCAGGGCAGAACCTTGGATGGCAGCCAATGAATGCCAATGTCCAGTGTAACCCTTGGATCATTTAAACTGGCTCGCGGCTAATACCGTAGACCGAAAGCGGAGCAGCACGGGTTGACCGTGCTGCACCAAGGCCCGCGGAACCTTCGCACGACTCCCGGCAAATAAATCAAATCGCCACCCATGACGTCACCGTCACGATTGGTGCGGGGGGGGGGGAACAAAAATTCAAACCTGATGAACTGTGCGAAGGTTAAATTAGCTGGGAAAAAAATTACGGCGGGAGTAACGGTCGGCGGAGGCAAACGGAGACCCCCCCCCCCAGGAGAAGGGCGGCACAATAAGGCGGTGCAGACAAATGGGCGGCGCGGTGCGCGAAGTCGCTGGCGGAACGGAAGGAGGACGAGGAGCGAGAGCTGTTCGCGCGTCACGGGGAGGGGAAGGCAAGCGGGCGAGAGCCGGGGGAAACCGTCACAGGAAAAACTCGTCGTCGTCGTCGAGGGGGTCCGAGTCGTCGAAGAGGTCCGAGTCGTCGTCGGAGTCGGTGGCGAAGTCGGCATCTCCCGCGAGCAGCATGAAGAGGAGGTCGCTGAGGTCCGAGAAGATGAGGTCATCGTCCGAGTCGAGCAGTGCCGCCCGGCTCTCCCGCTCCTCGATGAAATCCCACAGCCGAATCGAGCTTTGGAACTGCGCGAAGAAACAAACGCACGAATACAGGTCACCCCCGAGCTCGCATGTACGCTCGCCATCCAATGGACGGCGGGCACCGGTTAAGGCCGAGGTAGGAAACTGCGGCCACATGAGGCCAACCCCACCTCGATCGAAACAGCTCGCGAACAATCCATCACCGCAATAACATATCCCCTCTAGTACTCGATTATTGCGGGCCAGGATCCTAGCAGCACTAAATCAGGTACTACAGGGAAATAGTTAAAATTTTCCCAGCAACACTGTGCCTCTACTTTCAATGCAATTAGTCAATTCCAGGCTGTGTTTGGGGGGCGAGCGAGCGATGGACCGGGGGCGAGCGAGCGATGGACCGGGAGCGAGCGATGGACCGGGAGCGAGCGAGCGATGGACCGGGAGCGAGCGAGCGATGCTGCCACTGCCTCCTCACCCGCACGTGTCCCTCCTGCCCGTGCTGCTTGCGCGCCCGTGCCTTGTCCTCCTTGCGCCCGTCCGGGTACGCGTGCAGGTAGAAGCACTTCACTCCAAACGGACACGAGCCCCGGCCCTGGTCAAAGTAACGGCACGCCTTCTTCCTGTGGGGACAACAGATGTAGGTGAGTGAGTGAGAGGTGGTGGTGGTGGTTGGGGGAGGTAATGGTGAGAGGGAAGGAGAGAGGAAATTGGGGAGGGAATTGTTGGAGGGAAGGAATGGTGAGAGGGGAGAGAGAATGGAGGGGAGAAAGTGAGGGAGAGCAGGCAGGGGAGGAATGAGGGGAGAATAGGTCAAGTGACAGAGATAAAAGAATGGGTGAATGGTGAGAGGGGAGGAGGAAACATCTCAACCTCCCTCCGCTCTCACCATCCCTCCCTCCTCTAATTGGGAAGTGTTGGAGGAGGGACGCTCATCTTACCCCATGGCGTCTTTGTAGCTCTGGATGAGTTTGTCCTTCTCCTCCTTGCAGTCGATCCAGTACTCGCTCGGGATCACAAAGTCTGACGTCACCCGGCACTCGGGGCACGACCTGCGGGTTTATCGGCCATTACGAACCTCCAAGGAGACATCGACCCCCAGGTATTAATAAACCCAGGATCTCGGCGGTGTCGGCTCTGTGGCTTTAGACACGGCCATTACGAACCCCCTCAGAGAAGCAGGCTAAGAAATTCACAGTGGCAGAGCTGGTTCAGTGGATACCACTTGGACAGCTATGAACCCACACACGCACACATGTGCGAGCGCGCGTACGTGAAACCCCAAGTCTTGAGACTGGGGACGCTCCGTAGTTGCAGCTCCGAGCCGACTCACTTGATGACCTTGTTCTCCAGCTGCTTGGTGCGACGCCACTTGCGGATGCAGGAGAGGCAGTACGCGTGCGAACAGCTCGACAGTATGCCAAACCGGCGCTCCGATGCGCGGGCCTTCTCAAACACCACCTCCATGCAGATGCCGCACACCACCCCGCTGCTGCGCTGCACCGCAAACGCCGCCTCCATGTCCTTCTCGTGGGCCGACACGCACGCCTGCGCCACGCCACATCGACGGTCAGTCGGTCAGCCATCGCCACCGTGGGAGGAGAGAGAGCGTCACCGTTAATAACTGACACGAAGAAGCTCATCCACCGCGCAGAAGTGACTGCGCATACCAACGTTGGAATATATTCTTCATTTTGATCATGTCCCCGGTTCGCAACGATTCATGGATTCACTGAGGAAGAAGGGGCGGTGGAACGGTTGAATTTTAACACGCCCGATAACATAATCAGAGCTTAATTTCAACCGGGTCTGTTCAGGTGAGCGACATAGAAAATATCTCTGCACGCTACACACATCGAACATACATAGCTGTGGCTACTCCGGGGTCACGTACCACCTATTCCCGTAAAAAAATGTGGCCGCAAATTAAGCCCTGGCTGTCCCCTATTCAGTGGATTCCAAACGTCTCCCCATGTAAGTTTACAGAACCATGTCCGCACAGCTCGCACGACGCCCACGGACGGCAGCAGGAATTACAACTGCACGCCAAAATTGGACAACAAATAAAAATTACTGAGCACGTGCCTATTCCAGTCGACCAACGACCTGGAGAATATCCAGCGAATCATGCATATATATATTTTTTAAATTATTTTGCTGCTGTCTATTTCCACATAAGCCACTTCGTTGAGCTATCACTGAAAATTAAGCTCAGGGGCTCAGTCGGCCTTACCTCGCAAGATAAAAAAATAGTTTAGTTTTATTTGTAAATATTTAACTGATTTGTTTACCTTGCCTATAATTTGCACTCCTGTCGTGTTTTGTATTGTATGTTGACCTGCCCCAGCTGGAAATCTGCGAAAAACAACTGTATACCGCATCGGATTCCTCTTGCAGTCTAAATAAACATTCCGATTCCGAGCTGGCGAGGGATTGCGTCACATCACAGCGCGTCTCACCCGGTGGTGCTGCGTGCGCTGCTCCGAGTCGGACGGGTGCAGCACCTGGAGGCCGCACATGTCGCACACGTCGCCGTGCAGGTACACGCAGTGATCGCCGTAGCGACACTCGCCCACCGCTGCGTACGGGCACAGCTGCTGGGAGGCGCCCGCCGGCGCCGGCGGTGGGACTGGTTCCTCCTGTGGTGGTAGCCCCTCTTGCGCCGCCGCCAGGTACGACGACGGGACTGGGCGGTGTAAGGGTAGGCGAGAAGGCATGTCGCAAATGGTAATTAATTGACACGCACATAGTGTAACGTTATTTTATAGGTAAGTTTTGTTCGCATTGGATCATCTTTACGAGAGTTATTGTGCATCCTCCACCTATTCTAGACATACAGGCAGAGCTAATGCATTCGGGTTTTCTACCTATCTTTCAGGTTTGTTGCTAATGCCAATTACATTGGCCATCCTGTGCTAGCCGGAGAGAGATAATGCATTGAAAATTTTAACTTGAGTTCAAAAATGTAAATGAAAAAAGGCAATATGATCTCACCCTCTCGCCCATTGTAGGGTTGCCCGGGCACAAACTCGGCTGCGTTGACCCAGTCGGCCGCACCCCCGGCCTTGCCGAGTGGATGGTTGAGCCCGTGTTTCCCCGCTGCCGTGGCTCCCCCTGTCTCGGAGCCCTGCTTGGCACGGCCCAGCGGTGTCAGCTTGGACGGAGCGGCCCCACAATCGGATGTGAGCGGTACGGGGCGTGGGGGAGCTTTGGCTGCTGATGGCGGCGCTGCATGTTGCTGCTTTGATGGGGCGGGCGGCTTGACATGGTCGTATCTATAGCAGCAATCAAAGAATTTCGTTCAAGGAAGCTTGGTGGCTCGCCATTCTCTTTTTCAACTCCCTCAACGAGTCCTTCTCAATCACTTCCCTTGGACATCAACACCCATTTCTCAACTCCGCCACTCTCACTCACCCTGCCACCTCAGCCCTATCACACACCCTTCCCTTTCGGCCCCCACCAATTCTCCTCGCCCACAAACAGTCCACTCACACCTCTCGCTTACTCTGGCCCTCTCATCCCTGTTGGAAAGTCACACCGGTAACCAACGCACTTCCTTCTCCACCCACCTCACACCAACTCGCGACCCCATTGGCCCCGCTAGCTCACCTGCAGCCGTCTCCATAGACGCAGCGCCCACGTTGGTAGAACTTGCAGGACATGGCAGGCTTGCTAGTGCTCAGATCGTGTGAGTAGGGGCAGTTGCGACCCTCCCGACAGACCCCGTGAAGAAAATACCTGTCCCAGCGACACGAAAAAATGGAACATCACACACCAATTCATCTATGATCTATCTACTGCTCGACAAAAGCCTTCATAAGCCTTTATCTTTTCAAGGTTCTCAGGTTTAGATAACCAAATGCACATGTTGGTCTCAGGATTAAAGTGCAGTGTGATTAATGGAAGTGGCCAATCATCTCATACAGGACCCTCCTGAGAAAGTGTTAAGGGTGTGATGTTTTCCTGGATAAAGCCATCAGCTATGGTTAATCCACTGCTAGATGAATGCCTCAAGCCATCACCATCTCTCAGGCTCACGCGATGCAGCAATATATCTAGCACCTGCACCCAAGCGGATATCATCACTCCATCTCCTGCGTGGACGTCCTCCCGCGAGCGTTTTCTCCTTTGGCTGCCACAGTATTTTGCTCCCCTTTATATACCGCCAGAAAAACATAGCCTCTATTTATAAACGAGATCATTTATAGTCATTACATACCACGTAGGATGCTACCGTGGTGTAATGGTTCACACAGTTCGATCTCCTGGCGCGGCAGTTGAAAACAATGGCCAAATTTCTTAAATCCCTCCCGCCTCTGTTCAGCCAGGAGTATAAATGGGTACACAACATATTCTTGGTTCTTTCGGTAAAGTCACGTAGAAGGGAAACAATAAAATAATAAAAATATAAAACAATAAAATTCTCACGACGTTTCGACCGCAACACAAGCAATCATCATCACAGTTAGTCTATCGGCAGGTCGCGCGTGGTGGGGGACAACTGTGGGCACTGTCACCTTTTCCGCGTCTGGCCAGCGTGAACGAGTACACAAGGGCAACATAGCGGCCAGATGTTAACTACCTCGCCTGGTATACAGGAAATCGTGAGTTCCATCCCGACCCTGACACCTGCATTGTCGCGTGGATTTTTCTCCAGGACCTCCGGATTTTGAGCTACCATTTGTGGCCAGCCAGCTTCTGAAATAAAAAAACGGCTATATAGTAGCTCAGGGGGCCTTTCCTGGGAAAAAAATAACAAAAATAGTTAAAATCTTGAGTTTAAGCTTTCGTGACTGCAGGAATCCATACACTTTGGTTCTTTCGGTAAAGTCACGTAGGTAATGTCAGGATTTTATACCGACGTGACTTTACCGAAAGAACCAAAGAGTATAGTTTAAATCGTTTTTCAAGACGTCTGGCCAACGTGGACGCGAATATATTCACAGTGGCGTGGGGAAGTCAATCGTCGGGGTTTGCAACTTTACTCACAACGCGCCCCGACCTCGTCTGATCTCGTGAGGCTCGATTGTGATTTAGATAGGCAACCGCCGTAAAGGATCACCGTACACTTTAACCAGCGTGTATAAAGAGATGGTCACATCACTTACGGCAGGGGTGGGGAACGTCCGGCCTGCGGGCCGTATAAGGCCCGCGGAATCATTTGGGTCTCTGGCCCTGCCAAGGCAACCGCAGGCGGGACTCGAAATTCAATAAATCTAGGAGCAAACCTGGGAAAGCAGTTGCGAGTAGCAACATCATCAACACCAGCATCATCACACGCCTCGCCAAAGAGAAGCAGTTCCAGCCATCGCAATAGGGGCAAGTTAATTAAACGTTTGACCAATTATAACAGGCTAATTTTTAAGTTGATCATTTTGTATGGCCCGCGAATGATGTTATAAATATCCAAATGGCCCTTGGCAGAAAAAAAAAAGTTCCCCCACCCCCTGACTTACGAGAATCCGCGCGGCGTTTGGAGGCCTCACCTAGCACTGGATTTCCTTTTAAAGCGCTGCACTACACACACGTACATACAAAGACCCCCCCCACCCACCGCGGTAGCCTATAAGAGACTGTTGGGACAAGTGCTGTTAGCGAGCACCTATGAATGCCGGCACGGCACACGAAGGGGATGGGTGGCCAGCACTACGCCCGGCCGCCTTTGTCTCTCCAGTGGCGATGTTTACACAAACGCTACAGAGACACTCGTGAGGCCGAGTCGACCTAGGTGAGGCCCAGGACCGGCTCAGATAATCGTCGCCGGCGTTGGCCGTGAGCGGGAATAGAACTCGGGTCGCTGGGTTCGTAGCGCTAACCGCTACACCACCGCTCCCCACGTGCATACAACGGCACCGTCAACACACAGACCTAGCCACATCGGCTACAACAAAATACGCCACCCAATTCAACGCAACGCCTCCACTTCGTCGGCAAACGTCAGGGGTTTTCCTCGTTCGACTATGCCTGCTCTCAAACACCCAAAAGGCGAACCAGAGCTTGACGGTACAAAAACAATTCCACGTTCTTATGACGAGCACCAGGAACGTGTTCTCACTCACACACGTTATTCCACCCGACAAAGAGCATGCAGGTGATGAAGGCAACGGCCGGGGATTTGAACTCAAAATCGCGTTAAACGAGTGAACGCGACGCTGTCTTAATCGCACTGACCGCGGGGCTTATTTTTTTTCCTGTTATTTTTGAAAAATTGTAAAAATATATATTATATATACAAGCCACCCGGCTCCGACAACGTAAACACGGCCCACGGCCGCCGCGTTCAAACCAAACCAGCCGTGGCATTTTAACGTGCAAGCGGTGCCCTCGGAATTCAGCCTCACCTCGCCCGATTATAACTTCGTTTAAATTCACCTTTTCACCGACGCGATTAAAAACAAAGACGGCGCAAAACACAGGGTTCACTAGGCCCGAGGCCACGCACGACTCCCCCCCCCCCCCCCAACGACCACATTTCATAGTCCCCTTACGCGGGCTCCGTCCGCCGATTGGCCGAGCCGCTTCCCTCAACCGCTCCGTGGGGCGAAACGAACCAATCGACGCGCAGCCGGAACGCTCGCGACGACCATCCGCGCTACGATTTCAAAAAGCCGCAATCTCGCGGGTTTCCTCAAGGCCCGGAGGTGGTGGCGGGGCGGGGAGGACATTAAAGGCCTCGCTCGACTCCCGCGAAGCCAAGCGAACGCGGCTTGGTGACTGACGACGTGAACGGGAGGGCGGACGGGTGGGACTGTTGGACGAGAGAGGAGGTGGAGGGGGGGGGGGCGCCGTGGTAGAGGCGGCGGTTGAGGTTGGGACTCGGGTTACCTGCAGGTCACTTCTCCCTTCCAAGCCGCCGTTCTGCCCGCCTCCGCCATCTTGTGTTATCGGGTTGCCCCAGGCCACGCCCCCTTACCCAAAGGCCACGCCCATCTCACACCCAAGCCCCCCCACACACACAGAAGCCCCGCCCACTCTCCCTTTCAAGCCCTGCCCCCCTTTCATCTCAAGCCCCCGCCCCCCTCACTTTCCCTCGATTCACCCCCCCCCCGCGCGCGCCTCTCGACGGTGACGTCATCTTTGGGGGGGGGTGGGGGCGCCAAAGCGGAGGTTGCCAATCGGATTCCTGTAGATAGCAGCTGGGTTGCATTTGGTAGAGCGGATAAAATTATGCGGCACTGACGTCATGTCAATCAGAGGGCACCCCCTTCCCCCCACCCACACGGCCTCCCTCTAACCCCCTACCCCCCACCCCGTCCCTCCCACGCCAACCCCCCACCCCACAAACTGCGTATCTATTGCGATTCATAATTTATCGTAATAAAAAAAAGTATTCCGATTCTGATTGTTTGTGGCCAGATCGCGTAAATGAAACGTGTGTCATAAAGCCTCCTCCACCCAACAGAGTAAAAAATATCTATACAAAGTTACCTATATAGCCTCTTGTTATAGCAACCCTATTCCTCCTCCACCCGACAGAGTAAATATATATCTATACAACGTTACCTATATAGCCTCTTGTTATAGCAGCCCTATTCCTCCTTCACCCGACAGAGTAAAAATATATCTATACAAAATTACCTATATAGCCTCTTATTATAGCAGCCCTATTCCTCCTCCACCCGACAGAGTAAAAATATATCTATACAAAGTTTCCTATATAGCCTCTTGTTATAGCAGCCCTATTCCTCCTCCACCCGACAGAGTAAAAATATATCTATACAAAGTTACCTATATAGCCTCTTGTTATAGCAGCCCTATTCCTCCTCCACCCGACAGAGTAAAAATATATCTATACAAAATTACCTATATAGCCTCTTATTATAGCAGCCCTATTCCTCCTCCACCCGACAGAGTAAAAAAATATCTATACAAAGTTACCTATATAGCCTCTTGTTATAGCAGCCCTATTCCTCCTTCACCCGACAGAGTAAAAATATATCTATACAAAGTTTCCTATATAGCCTCTTGTTATAGCAGCCCTATTCCTCCTCCACCCGACAGAGTAAAAATATATCTATACAAAGTTACCTATATAGCCTCTTGTTATAGCAGCCCTATTCCTCCTCCACCCGACAGAGTAAAAATATATCTATACAAAATTACCTATATAGCCTCTTATTATAGCAGCCCTATTCCTCCTCCACCCGACAGAGTAAAAAAATATCTATACAAAGTTACCTATATAGCCTCTTGTTATAGCAGCCCTATTCCTCCTTCACCCGACAGAGTAAATATATATACAAAGTTACCTATATAGCCTCTTGTTATAGCAGCCCTATTCCTCCTCCACCCGACAGAGTAAATATATCTATACAAAGTTACCTATACAGCCTCTTGTTATAGCAGCCCTATTCCTCCTCCACCCGACAGAGTAAAATATATCTATACAAAGTTACCTATATAGCCTCTTGTTATAGCAGCCCTATTCCTCCTCCACCCGACAAAGTAAATATATCTATACAAAGTTACCTATATAGCCTCTTGTTATAGCAGCCCTATTCCTCCTCCACCCGACAGAGTAAAAATATATCTATACAAAGTTACCTATACAGCCTCTTGTTATAGCAGCCCTTTTCCTCCTCCACCCGACAGAGTAAATATATCTATACAAAATTACCTATATAGCCTCTTGTTACAGCAGCCCTATTCCTTATTCACCCGACAGAGTAAATATATCTATACAAAATTACCTATATAGCCTCTTGTTACAGCAGCCCTATTCCTTATTCACCCGACAGAGTAAATATATCTATACAAAGTTACCTATATAGCCTCTTGTTACAGCAGCCCTATTCCTTATTCACCCGACAGAGTAAAAATATATCAATACAAAATTACCTATATAGCCTCTTATTATAGCAGCCCTATTCCTCCTCCACCCGACAGAGTAAAAATATATCTATACAAAGTTTCCTATATAGCCTCTTGTTATAGCAGCCCTATTCCTCCTCCACCCGACAGAGTAAAAATATATCTATACAAAGTTACCTATATAGCCTCTTGTTATAGCAGCCCTATTCCTCCTCCACCCGACAGAGTAAAATATATCTATACAAAATTACCTATATAGCCTCTTATTATAGCAGCCCTATTCCTCCTCCACCCGACAGAGTAAAAAAATATCTATACAAAGTTACCTATATAGCCTCTTGTTATAGCAACCCTATTCCTCCTTCACCCGACAGAGTAAATATATATACAAAGTTACCTATATAGCCTCTTGTTATAGCAGCCCTATTCCTCCTCCACCCGACAGAGTAAATATATCTATACAAAGTTACCTATACAGCCTCTTGTTATAGCAGCCCTATTCCTCCTCCACCCGACAGAGTAAAAATATATCTATACAAAGTTACCTATATAGCCTCTTGTTATAGCAGCCCTATTCCTCCTCCACCCGACAGAGTAAATATATATCTATACAAAGTTACCTATATAGCCTCTTGTTATAGCAGCCCTATTCCTCCTCCACCCGACAGAGTAAAATATATCTGTACAAAGTTACCTATATAGCCTCTTGTTATAGCAGCCCTATTCCTCCTCCACCCGACAGAGTAAATATATCTATACAAAGTTACCAATATAGCCTCTTGTTATAGCAGCCCTATTCCTCCTCCACCCGACAGAGTAAAAATATATCTATACAAAGTTACCTATATAGCCTCTTGTTATAGCAGCCCTATTCCTCCTCCACCCGATAGAGTAAATATATCTATACAAAGTTACCTATATAGCCTCTTGTTATAGCAGCCCTATTCCTCCTCCACCCGACAGAGTAAAAATATATCTATACAAAGTTACCTATATAGCCTCTTGTTATAGCAGCCCTATTCCTCCTCCACCCGACAGAGTAAAAATATATCTATACAAAATTACCTATATAGCCTCTTATTATAGCAGCCCTATTCCTCCTCCACCCGACAGAGTAAAAAAATATCTATACAAAGTTACCTATATAGCCTCTTGTTATAGCAGCCCTATTCCTCCTTCACCCGACAGAGTAAATATATATACAAAGTTACCTATATAGCCTCTTGTTATAGCAGCCCTATTCCTCCTCCACCCGACAGAGTAAATATATCTATACAAAGTTACCTATACAGCCTCTTGTTATAGCAGCCCTATTCCTCCTCCACCCGATAGAGTAAAAATATATCTATACAAAGTTTCCTATATAGCCTCTTGTTATAGCAGCCCTATTCCTCCTCCACCCGACAGATTAAATATATCTATACAAAATTACCTATATAGCCTCTTGTTACAGCAGCCCTATTCCTTATTCACCCGACAGAGTAAATATATCTATACAAAATTACCTATATAGCCTCTTGTTACAGCAGCCCTATTCCTTATTCACCCGACAGAGTAAATATATCTATACAAAGTTACCTATATAGCCTCTTGTTACAGCAGCCCTATTCCTTATTCACCCGACAGAGTAAAAATATATCTATACAAAATTACCTATATAGCCTCTTGTTACAGCAGCCCTATTCCTTATTCACCCGACAGAGTAAATATATCTATACAAAATTACCTATATAGCCTCTTGTTATAGCAGCCCTATTCCTCCTCCACCCGACAGAGTAAATATATCTATACAAAATTATCTATATAGCCTCTTATTATAGCAGCCCTATTCCTCCTCCACCCGACAGAGTAAAACTATATCTATACAAAGTTACCTATATAGCCTCTTGTTATAGCAGCCCTATTCCTCCTCCACCCGACAGAGTAAATATATATACAAAGTTACCTATATAGCCTCTTGTTATAGCAGCCCTATTCCTCCTCCACCCGACAGAGTCAATATATCTATACAAAGTTACCTATATAGCCTCTTGTTATAGCAGCCCTATTCCTCCTCCACCCGACAGAGTCAATATATCTATACAAAGTTACCTATATAGCCTCTTGTTATATAGCAGCCCTATTCCTCCTGCACTCGACAGAGTAAATATCTATACAAAGTTACCTATATAGCCTCTTGTTATAGCAGCCCTATTCCTCCTCCACCCGACAGAGTAAATATCTATACAAAGTTACCTATATAGCCTCTTGTTATAGCAGCCCTATTCCTCCTCCACCCGACAGAGTAAAAATATATCTATACAAAGTTACCTATATAGCCTCTTGTTATAGCAGCCCTATTCCTCCTCCACCCGACAGAGTAAATATATCTATACAAAGTTACCTATATAGCCTCTTATTACAGCAGCCATATTCCTCCTCCACCCGACAGAGTAAATATATCTATACAAAATTACCTATATAGCCTCTTGTTATAGCAGCCCTATTCCTCCTCCACCCGACAGAGTAAATATATCTATACAAAGTTACCTGTATAGCCTCTTGTTACAGCAGCCCTATTCCTCCTCCACCCGACAGAGTAAATATATATCTATACAACGTTACCTATATAGCCTCTTGTTATAGCAGCCCTATTCCTCCTTCACCCGACAGAGTAAATATATATCTATACAACGTTACCTATATAGCCTCTTGTTATAGCAGCCCTATTCCTCCTTCACCCGACAGAGTAAATATATATCTATACAACGTTACCTATATAGCCTCTTGTTATAGCAGCCCTATTCCTCCTTCACCCGACAGAGTAAATATATATCTATACAACGTTACCTATATAGCCTCTTGTTATAGCAGCCCTTTTGCCCACTTCAGCAATTGTTTCTTGCTGTGGTTGTCCCACCTGATGACGGACGCTTGTGTTGCGCCCGAAACGTCGTGATTTATTTTATTTTAAACCTACGTGACTTTACCGAAAGAACAAAAAAATATATATACAAAGTTGTCACGTTAACAAAATAAGGGGCAATTTGTGACTACTTTCAAGCATTTACACCGGGAGTGATGGAGAACAAATTTCACGTTTAAAATTCCAGCAAACTTGCCCGCTGACGCTGGTTTCAGCTTTGATTCAGGTTCACGTGCATGGGTGAATTATTCAATTCGCATGATCGTCAGAGACGGCGGTGGCTTTGGGGGGGCTTCGTCCAGCAGTGGATTGATCACGGCTGCTGATGCTAATGAGAGGATAAGGCAGCAGAGGGGATGGCTGGCACTGGTGGTGGGGGTCCCCTTGGCTAGATTGTTAAATGACAGGGCAATAACATGGTTGAGATGTAATGCAACGGAATAACACTTTGAATTAAATTTTGATTTAAAGCTTTCGTGACTGCAGTAATTCATATTCTTAGCTCTTTCGGTAAAGTCACGTTGAAGGGAAGCAATAAAATATATAAATAAAAAATCTATTTTATTGTTTCCCTTCAACGTGACTTTACCGAAAGAGCTAAGGATATAACACTTTGAATTGTTGAGACATTTCATCCTTGATCGATCCACTGCTGGATGAAGGCCGATATAATCATCCACCCAGCACCTGTATTTATATACATTATTACGAGTTTAACTGTCCCTCGATTAATCAATTAAAAATTAGTCTTACGCTCACGACAAGCGTACATAACCGTCGCAGTGAGAATTATGTTTTTTTGTAATAGCGGCATTGAAGACAATGGCTCGAATAGGACCGTAACAATCGCTGTAACAACACAACGCAACACGAGGCGGTGACGTCGATCATTAACGGAATCGTCACCAACAAATCACTATTCAAACAACGCAATCGATACTCGCCCGTCGGGTTGATTGGCAAATTAAACGATTCGATTCGGCCAAGCCTCCCAATCCCGTCGGGGCAGGAATCGATTCATTGCGAGGGTTGTTATTCGGTAACCGCAAAAGGGAAAAACCGGTAAAAACCGGCCGTAACCGGTAAAATTTTAAAACCGGTTCAAATCTGTGAAACCGGTCAAAAAAACCCGGTAAAAATCTGTACAATCGGTTAAACCCGGTAAAAACCACTTGAACCCGCTAAAACCGGTTAACGATTTGCCCCTCTTATTTTTTTAAATAAATCATTGCAAAAAATGTTTACGAAGAAAACGTAAAGAGCGCGGTGCAATGGTTCGCACGGTGGACAAACGCCATCCATGTGTTGATCTCCTGGGGAAACTTCATCAAGTGTTTTTTGTGTTCATAATGAAGGTTTTTGGGTTCGATCGCGTTATTTATAAATGTGTCGTAACCCTCCACCACCCGACACGGCCAATCAGCAAAAAAAGTGTCACGTTGACAAAAGACAAATAATTCACTACTTTAGCCCACCGGTGTGTTGAAGAGTGAATCCACAACATTTACAGTTTGAGTACGACTGTAAATGTGGATTCACTCTTCAACACACCGGTTGGCTAAAGTAGTGAATTATTTGTCTTTTGTCAACGTGACACTTTTGTTTTGCTGATTGGCCGTGTCGGGTGGTGGAGAGTTACAACACATTTATAAATAACGCGATCTAACCCAAAAACATTTATTATGAATAATATTGGTCGCGAAAGCCTACGTGTTAAACTGCTTTTTGTGTGTGTGTTTTTAACCCCACCGACCTCTGCCCACCCAGCAATGTAAATGGTTTAGTCGCCCCGACGGGAACAGCTGCGGATACTCACGCCTCTTTCGTGAACGCAAAGGGGCCGGTGTGGAAGAGTAGGCCAAAAGTACCGTCTATAGGGGGCGGCTCAATAGCGGTCTCTAGAGAGAGAGAGAGTGGCGGGAGTTTCAGTTTCTGTGCTGCACGTTCGATGGCCCGTAGCGGCATCTGAAACAATTGTGCAAGGCTCTTACATTCCCATCCTCCCCCCTCTTGTCCACTTGGCAGACAAAGATCCCCCGTGTAGCCTTAACAGGCCGTTAGGGGCAAGTGCCATTAGCGGACTGGCACCTATGAAGGCCGGCACGGCACACGTGGCCAGCAGCACCACGCCCAGCCGCCTTTGTCTCCCCAGTGGCGATGTTTGCACACCGCGCCCAGGTCACTCATTTGAGGCTGAGTCGATCTAGGGAAGGCAGAGGACCGGTTCAGACAATCGCCACTGATGGTGGCCGTGAACACCACCGCTCACCACTTGGCAGTAGCATCGCCATCAGCAAGCAGCAGCAGTAACGGCATCACCTCGACCCTGGATTAAATTCGCCACTCTGTGGCCACAGCGCCCTCTAGCGCCGGCCGCATTGAACTACAGCTCTCCCGGTTCCTGTGCCCGAGACCCGTTATTTGTCTGGCTGCGCAGGGGAAGAAAGAGAAGTCTGGATCGTGAAGCTACATCCTTCGTCAGCGATGTCAGCCCCCGGCGGAGGGATGCGCCTGGTCCTGTGGGGCCTCCTCGTGTTCATCATGGCCAACGCGCTGGGCCCCAGGGCCGTGCAGGGCTGCTCCTGTGCTCCGTCGCACCCGCAGCAGGCGTTCTGTGCAGCGCACCTGGGTGAGAGAGGATCAACATCATCGTCGTCGTCGTTATCAGCAGTATCAGCAGCAGCAGCAGTATCATCAGCAGCAGTATCATCAGCAGCGGCAGCTTCAGCGGTCGTATAATAATCTTCATCAGTGGTAGCTAGCATCATCAGCGTCATCAGCAACATCAGCAGCTTCATCATTATCAGCAGCTTCAGCAGTGGCATCTGCAGTAGCATCTTCAGCAGTAGCTTCATCATCAACAGCAGCTTCCTCATCAGCAGCAGTATCCGCAGCAGCAGTACTAGCAGCATCAGCAGCAGTAGCGTCAACACCATTAGCAGCAATAGCATCAGCAGCTTCATTAGCATAATTAAATCATCAGCAGTAGCATCCTCATCAGCAGCAACATAATAATCATGAGTAGCAATAGTAGCAGCATTAGCATAATCAGCAGCAGCAACACCGTCATGATCAAATACGTATCAATACCATCAGCAACAGCATTCTAATCTACAACACTATAACCAACATCATCACCAACACCAATAACCTCCCTTAATGGACAACATCATCAACCCAGACATCATCATCAGCAGCATAACTCCCATCATCACCAACACCATATTCTCTTTATCAACATCACCATTAACCATCAACTATAACCGATGGGAATTTAGGGGCAGGAATCGGAGGCAGGAGGTTGGGGATGATGCGGACATGTGATGGTGGAATCTCGTGTTATAGTCCGTCTGGACTCTGCAGTGACTGTTTCCACCGTCGATTACTCAACTAAATGAACGCAATGCATTAATTGTGTTGTGTGATTGTGTAAAGATTCCTCCTACGGGTTATGTATAGACTAATGCATACGTGAATGTGTGGCATTAGATATTTACAGATAATGGAACACACTCGTTTTCGTTTAGTATTCCCATACATCGTTTTGTGCATATTGTAAGCATAGAGTAAGTCAATTACAGATCAACTGGCGTTTATATATTAAGAATATAAGACGTGCATATGTCGTTATTTCACTATCCATCATCCCAACACAGCTGCCATCACTATCGCCCATTGTCAACAGCGCCTGCGTCATCAACATTGTCGTCATCACTATCATCTTCATCATCAGCTCTATCGTCGTCGTTGCCTATATCATCATCATGGCATCTATTCTCATTGTCATAATCATCACTTTTTCATCATTATCATTATCTTTACCAATAGAATTATCATCATCACATTCATATCACCTTATCACAATTATTAGTCGTCATATCAATCGCCGTAATCACAATTTGCGTTTGAATTACCATTTTTACACGTTCTAAGAATATCCACAAAAGCCCAAAGTGTTTTAAGTATGTATAGCCCCGAACCAGTGGTGTAAATTCCTCATTATGATGGCAGGGCACGCCCACACAATACATCCCCTACATTGTGTGCAAGAGTTACGCATCTCTGCTAGCAAGATACAGAATACTCGGAGTGTATTACATAGTATATCGATTCACAGCTTTGGTATCTATGCTAATTGTATGCACTGACTTGCTGTGTGACATGTACTGTGTGACGTACACCTACTGATGTGTACTGTGAGACACCGACTCCGTGCTGCGTGCCACGCGCTGTGTGTATGCAGTTACACGTGCCAGGGTGGTGGGTGAGGCGGTGGTGGCCGGCCCAGAGGGATCGGCGAGCACCCAGTACGAAATATCCCTGCTCCAGGTACCGCAACCTAGAGGAGGCTTGCAGTGGACACGAGGCCACGATGCGTTCCACATAAACACGTGGCTTTTCGTAGCCAGTGCCACGAGTCCGTATTTGTTTTTTTTTGGGTTACGCCTCATGGTTGTATTTTTATGCCAAATGGTCGTAGTTTTATGCCAAAATTATTGCCATTAACCCTCCACCAACCGACAACATGATCAAGTTTACAGACATATTATAGGTGCTTATGTGTTCATCGATTTTGACCGATCAAGCTCCGCACCTCACTGGTGGCTTAATGACAATAATTTTGGCATAAAACTACCACGTAGCCTAACCCAAAAACAGACATGGATCATGTGTTCTATCATTTATTGCGGTATAACACGTAGGCTTTCGCGACCAATATTATCCATAATGAGCCTGATTGTAATTACCAGCAAAAAGTCGTACTCGAACTACAAATGTTGTGGGTTTACTCTCCAACGCACCGGTGTGCTGAACTAGTAACGAATTGGCATGTTTTGTTTACGTGACAAACCTTACTAATTGGCTGTATCGGGTGGTGGCGGGTTTAACGACACAACATTTATATATTCACGCGATCTAACCCCCCCCCCCAAAAAAAAAAACCCTGGATCGTGGATTTATTGCGATGCGCCGTAGCCGCTGACATCGGTCGATCAATAAAAACACAAATCGCTACGATTATTATTATTATGAAGTGATATTGGGACCCCACGGCCTCCACCAACCCCGGCTTCGACCTCCCCACTCATGCAGGTGTTCAAAGGCCCAGGAGTGCCGGGCGACGCCACGCACCTTTACACGAACCGCGAGGGCTACCTGTGTGGCGCAAAGCTCAAGACGGACACTGAGTACCTGCTGGCAGGTTAGTCCTCTGCAATTACGCGAGTTCCAGTTGTAGTAATACTAATAATACTAAATAATACCCATTATTTAAAGCAACCGCAACAACCAGCGCAGTGAAGTGTGGTTAAACAACCCCCCACATCCGACAGTGCGGTGGAGGCTTTCAATTGGCATGAAAAGGGATGCAGTCGTTTCTTTATGATTATTATTTAAGGTTAAGGTTTCGGACTAATGGTTAGGGCTAGAGTTTTCACTCGTGCTGGCTAACAGGCTAAACGGGATATTCCGTGTAACAAATAAACATTGAATTGAATAATGCTAGGGTAAGGCTTAGAGCTAAAAGTTAGCTATTAAGGCTAGGCGTAGGTTTATGGCTTTGCTATTCTTAAAGTTAGGGTTACATTCAGAACTGGGGTCATGATTATTGGTTAGGATTATAATTAGGACTAACGCTGGCTTAGGCATAGCGTTAGAGCTCGGGTTATATTTATATCTAGGCTAGGGTTGGGGCTAATGCCAAGCCATCCCACTCTGGCAACCTCTGCATAACCCTGCGCCCTCCTCCTTGGCCTCCACTATTTGCGAACCCAGAATCAGAATCGGAAACCCGCGACCACCCTGCTCATGTTGCCCGCATCTCAAGCCCCTCCCCCCACCCCTGGTTGTTCCACCCTCCACAGCGCGCCGAGTCGAGGATAGGCTGCGAATCTCCCTGTGCGACCTCGCCAAGCCTTGGGCGAGCGTGAGCGCTGCTCAGGCAGAGAACCTGGCCGGGGAGTATGGGCGCGGCTGCGGTGTCTGCTCGGTACGGGCACGGCACGAGACGCGCGCATTCACGACGCTGGCTTCACCTTCACAAAACTGTCCCCAAGACTCAATCGCAAGAGTTTCCTGCTTTGGCATGTTTAGCTGATTTTTCTTTTTACACTTTTCCTGTCGCTTATATTTCAGTTCTGCTATAAGCGTCACTTTATAAGATGGATACATTTCCATTTGGAACGGCCATGGAAGATAACTTTCTATGAAATCGAATTAATGGCTCTCTTTATCCACATGAGTTGCACTTTTCACATGACTATAAAACTATCAAAACAGTTCTAAACATTCTCAGAACTGACAATCATTTAAAATATATAATTTTAAATGCAGTATTTTTGTTGTTTAGGCATTGATTAATGGAATTGTATTCCATCTTTTCATATGGAGGCAATATGTTTAGGAGCTAAATGGCAATGTTGAGGTCTCATAGCCACGAGAGGGCCTCAGCAGAGCGTTTGTGTAGTTTTGCTATTCCAGTGACTGGGGTGAGAACATCAAAGCTCATTACACTGGAAAACCCAGTTTAATCACAGGTGACTAAAATCTGTGAGAATCACATAAAAATGTAGAAACGAAAAATAACAAAAAATGCTATGAATTTCGATTTAAAGCTTTCGTGACTGCAGGGATTCATATTCTTGGTTCTTTCGGTAAAGTCACGTAGAAGGCAAATAAAAATAAAATAATAAAAACAGTAAAATTATCAAGAATTTTCTTGCTGTGGTTTTCACACCTGATGATGATTGCTTGTGTTGCAATCGAAACGTCGTGAGAATAGTATTGTGTTTATTTTTATTATTATTATTTTATTTCCCTTCTACGTGACTTTACCGAAAGAACCAAGAATATAAAAAAATGCTATATTATCAGCCAAAGCAGGCAACACACCCGAGAAAAGGGTCTACTGCAGAGATGTAACGATGACACCAGCTCATATATACAGGTGCTTGATGGATTGTTACATCGCAAGACCCGTGAGAGACAGCAACTGCTTTGGAGAGGCCTTTAACCAGCAGTGGAGAGATCAAGGCCGATGATGGTATTTTTGGGTTATGCAAACTCAAGTGCTCCGACACGGCATTATCCCTCTGAGCCTCCCGGCCACTTCAGCTGCATTACGTTTTAAATTCTTCTTAATCTCAGAGAACGCAGCGAGGTGGTTGCTAGGTCAGAGCACTGAGCCAGCGCCGCTGACAAGCCTTGGCTTAAATCCTTTTTTTTATAGCCACCCGTGGATTAACCGCAACGTCAAGAGGAGCAAACGTCAATGGTCTCAGCCCACTCTCTCTCTCTCCATTGACTGCAAAAATAAATCATGGGTTGAATTTGGGATCGCAACATAATTCGGCAAAATTCCAGCTCTGACAATTATAAATATCGGTTTGACTGCCATGCAATGAATCTTTCTATCCTGGGTTGTTTCTACGTTTTTGGGCTGCCCTTTGATCAATTTGGCCCGTTTTCAAGTCCCTAACAGCAACACGACTTTACACTAAAATGTTGTTTGCATTGAATCATCATTACAAGATTATGATGATGGTGATACGGACGGACTGACAGAACTGATGAACGGATGAACCGATAAGAACGATCTTAACGCATGAACGCCTTCAACCTCATTTGTAAAGAGTTAAAACCACCTTTATTGGTCCCGTGTCCGACTCTCTCCCTCTCTCTCTCTCCACGCACTGCGCTCAGATCAAACTCTGCTACGCGAGCGAGTGTGACCGCTCGGTTCCGGGCGAGTGCACCGGCTCCTACCACGACATGTTCGGGCTGGACGGGCGCCGCCTGTCCGAGGAGCATGCGTGCCTGCAGACCGAACCACGTCCCGGTCCCAGCCCCGGTCCTGGCACCTGCCAATGGGTGCAGGGCCGCTTGCCCAACAACACCGTCGCCGTTGTCGTCACCACCAGCACCGCGGAGGCCACGGATCACGTTCCGGCGACTTGGGATAATTCGGCGGGGCAGTAAACACCTGGTCGCATATACAGCCTGCCGCGCATACCAGTGTTACCACCGCAGTAGTATTATAGACTTGCCAACGCTACTGATCTTAATATTATAACACGCATTGATGTGCTCTGCTCACGACAGCAGGGAGGCACGGCTCCCATCATGCCGTGCAAGGCCATGAGATCACCACACCGCATGTCCAGACCACCGACCTGAACAGAGCTAAACGTTTGGCTGTATTATGGACAAGGCTGAGAGCATTGTACGTGCAATCTGGTGAGCACATGCATGCCAAGGCAGGATGGGAGACGTGACTTCATGCTATTGTGAGCAGCACACCTTTGTGGGTGTTTTCTTCTGTTGACAGCCTGCACGCATTATTTCTGTTTGGATGGATTTTCTCATTATTTACAAAATGTGTTGGATTTGAACTCCCGATTTAACCAGCAGGCTGCTGATTTTTAAACTCTTTTAACCACATGGACGCTGGGAAAAGTAGGCCAAACACCCTCTAGAGTATCTCTCAAGCTGCCACGTATGGAGGCCCTTCTGCCGGCAGTGGTGTCAGCAAGTGAGGTTCAAGGCTGCACCTTTACGGTTCAATTATTTTAAAAGCTTATGACACTGCTGCTGTATAAAAAATGTTTGGAAAAATAATAAATTCTCGATGCGATTTTAGCTTTGAAGATCGGTTGTGCAGGATCGAGGGATTACAAATCAGCAGCTTTACCACTTAAATCCGTGGTGTTGGCAAGTAAAGTATGTATTGGGTGAACCCAAACGATGGCATCGTTATTTATTTAACTAGGGAAAATGCTGAAACGTAGAAAGTTGCCTGTCATTGACTTAAAGCTTTCGTGACTGCAGGAACTAATATTCTTTGGGTCTTTCAGTGAAGTCACGTAGATAGGTTCAAAGAAAATAAAACAAACTACGTTTCGATCGAAACACAAGCGTTCGTCATCATCTTCATCATCTTCCTGATGACGAATGCTTCCGTTGGGATCGAAACGTCGGTAGTTTTTTGTTATTTTCCTTGAACCTATCTACGCGACTTTACCGAAAGACCCCAAGAAAATTGCCTGTCATTGTTTAGTTTTCGCGTGGCGTTAATTATTGAGACTGCAGACTAAGCTGTGTGCGTTGGAAGGAAGCCTTTTTGGGCCGCTACGTTTGCGTTGAAGACGTGAGGTCTTCGTGGCATTGCTTCAGCCTGACACGTCCCAGCTGATGGCCCGCTCTCTCGCGTTGCACAACCACGCCGATTCGTGGATGACCTCGATCCCAACAAATTTACCTTTGGCCACACCCTTCGGATTTTCATCCGCGTCCAGTCGCGAGTGAAACTTTTCCACGCGTCCCACGGAAAAAAAAAACCCATTTTCACTCCGACCACTACTTGCGATACGTACAGGCGTTGCTTAATTTCTCACTCGACATTTTCCGGAACGCTAATCGGCTGGCTTGGGTGTAGGGATTATCGGCATAAGGCAATACCGCTCGGGTAAAAGGTACACCTATCAATATTATATTATTATGCCCTATATTCATTTAACGATATGGGCAGGTTTAGAACCAAATGAGGAGACATGGATGTGACGCACCAAAATAATTCTCGGAGCAATGTTCCGGCTGACATTAAGCACTGCATACGATACTTATAAAATAGAAATGTTTAACTCTTACAAAACATTATTTATCATACGTACTAAGGTTGTTAAGGGTCATTGTCACCATTTTTTTAATGCCTATAAAATAGCCACTCAAGTGTTTGTTCACAGTGGATGACTGCTTGGCATTGTCACAATCCCTCGAAAAGTACCGATGCCAAAGGACTTGCAGAGGGCAGTACAGCCTGAGAAACGTCACTCTTCCCAAGCGCTCGCACGAAAATGCCTTTGTCGATATATAATCTCACGTTCATATTCGAATGCGGATTTGAATGCGGAGATATGTGTATTTAAATCAAGAGGGCAGAGGCCTGCTCTGGCAACACTGCTGGCGAGGTTGGTGGGTGGATGTCAAACTCAACCATAAACCAACACTGCCACAACCCTCACCGTGACCCTTCACCCTGCCGTGTTTAAAAACACCGCCGCGGCAACATTCACATATACCATCACCACTTATAAACTAAACTCCACGATGCACATCTAAAACGTCACTAGTCACCTCTTACATTTCTTTCGACTTTCACATCCAGTTCTATGGCAATTCCGCGAGCACCTCCGCCTCCCCAAAACCATTTCCGATCGTGCCGAGGTCGCTGGTAGGTGAAAATAAAACGACTCTAACACGCTGGGCAAGAAGTCTTTAGGTTTACGTTCTCAGGAATATGATTTTGTCCAAATTTGAAGCACGTCTGTAGCCGATGTTGTCACTTCTGTCGATGGTCGTCGTCGTATGAGCTGTGCGATTGCGCTTACTTAACGCGTCGATATGTTTGGCGTAAAAAAAAACCGAGGGTTTACTAAACGGGGCACGGAGTAATTTTACTAAGGGCGCTGCGGTGGCGAGATGTTAACTCTCTCGCCTGGTTTACAGGAGATCGTGGGTTGGATCCCGACCCTGACGCCTGTTGTATATTTGGAGTTTGCATCTTTTCCCCATTTAGAAACATGCGTTTAGAGTATTTGACTGATATAAATTTCCACGTGATAAGCCACTTCGTTGAGCTATCATGTGGCCAGGTCGCTTCTAAAAAAAGAGCTACAGAGCTCCGTGGGCCTTATCACCGAATAGTTGTCGGATCACTGGTGGCATATACAACCAGAAGACACACAGCAAGGTTGCTAAAATATTTTCTGTGTCAAGACTGGAGCAGGCGGCTCGTGATTGGCAAACTACAGCCAGGGTAAGAGGAACGGTGGACGCGGTTGTACCGGGTGCGGAAATTCTCCTATTGCCGACATGGACAGACGCGGCTGAAATTAAGCCCCTGGGTGTAACATTCAAGAGATGTATAAGCACTTGCGGTCAAACGCCATTCAATTTCAAACAGCACTTTAAACTGGACCTCATATGGGAGGCAACTTGTACGCGCGCAACATTAGTTTCCATAGTGCAATTTAAATGCCGCTTTAGATTTCAAGTAGCGAATAAGCATGCAGTGTTACGGTTTTCATCGTAGGGCATTTAAATGGTAACTCTGGATCATAGCAGGCTTGCACATAATAAAGGCCACTACTGTATGTTGTGCCAGTGTTGCCGAGATTCTCGTTTGATCTTCTTGATGAGCCTACACTGCATCACACGAGCACACTCGAGGGAAGTGCCTAATGAATGTTTAAAAATGTTTGCGATTTAATACGTACTATATATTCCTGTAGGGTGCGTAGTGGGTAGGCCACTTGCACTATCAACCTGGCCAGTCAAGTTTCACCCTTGGCCACGCTCTCTATCATCAGTGGCAACATCTGAAGGAGCCCTCCAAGCACTCATTTAAGAACCCACGTGGACCAGTAAAGTACGGTCAAGCAATCCCCATGGTTGAATCATTAATACGAAAATCCTCAAGAGAGGACATTCATGGTTTAAGCCTATTCTGCCCTCGACCAGTTAAGACGTTGAATGACAGGTTGGTTCCTGGCGAGTGCTGCAAAGGTCTGCACACTAAAGGTCATCTCTATTCCGAAGTCACGGGTAGACGGAAACAATTGCAACATACCCTCGGCTAGACTTACAAGCCCAGGCCTCTACACACCACCACAAGCCGGCTTTGTATAAACACAAACCAGCCACGACAGGCAGGTTCAGGCAAGAGCAAGAACACACACAGCTACAAGTGAAATATATTGTCAACCAAAATCTTTCTTCACATCTGTCCTTGCAAAAGAATCCGGTATTTGCAAACCATCCCAGCCAGCGGCGGGGAGGCGGTGATGCTGTGGGCATCACGTGGCACAGTATTCAGTGCGGTTTCTGGCTCACCGCCACTTGTCCAGTTGAAAGCAGAATTTGGTACCACGGGTGGTAGAAAACATGAGCACTAGTTTCTGTATATGGATAATGAAAATGTGATGCAAGTGTAGCCCTGCAATTTCACTCACACCACTGTTGGCAGTGTATTTTGGCCTACTCTTCCACACTGGCCTGATGTTTTAGAAAAGGTGGGATACTCAACTGGACTGACTGGATTAACCTTTTATACTGCTGGGGAGACAAAGGCAGGATTTAAGAAACGTGCTAAGTTTCAACTGCAGTGCTTTTGGATTGAATCGAACTGGCGAGTTCTAAATTATCCATTGTGATAATTGACACATAGCAGAAAATCATGTGATAATATACTTATGAAGGTCACTGCACACTTAACTTTTACTGGCAATGTAAAGATATTGGTACAACTAAAATTTTCCATCTCATGTAGTACTAACATGTACAATATTTGATCTGGACCGATGAACTACATTGCATACTAGAGATGAGTTTCGTATTGACATTTCAAATCTGAATCATTTCCATTGACTTGTTTAAAATGTCTTGGTATAAATCATCTACGTCACCCAATGCAAAACCACCTTTGGCAGGAAACGCATTGAGGTGACGTCATGTTTTTGGATCGGTCTAAAACAAAACATGAGGATCGTTTGTGAAGTATCCAGAGCTGGAGTTTCAGAATAAATAAAAATGTAAAATCTACCGCACACGGATGGAAAAGTCTCACAGCGATTGTCATGTAAGATGTACATTTTTTATTCAGATGCTCTTCTATACACATCTCGAACATCATGGGTGTGCGTTGTGCGGCCAGACTTCCGATGCTAAATCCGTGACCGAAGCCCCCCCCCCCTCCGGGGGTTTCTGCCAATTTCTCCTTGATGCTTTTATTGCATTTACCATCAAAGCGTTTAAACTATTAACACAGCTCGCAGGAAAACATGGAAATCTGGAGGGCCCCAGTCACTCTGCTCTGTTGGCTCTATGGGGACTTCACATAAATACACAGCTCAGGTTATGGGGTGGTGGAAGGAAGAAGCGGCGAAAGAGCGAGCACACACGCTTGCGAGCAACGAAATGTTTAACCGCTAAGTAATGAGATAATAAACACTGCGAGTGTTGCTGAAAGGTGCAGGGGAAGTGCGTGTTTATACTAGAGGGGTCTGTGTTGGCCATTAATCGCCGCCAACTCGGAACAAAATAAAATTCATTCTGTTGCGCGGGCTGCAACGGGAACTAGCACCGCTGGAACTGGCAGCGTATGAAGATGAGGGCATCGCGATTGGCGCCAACCGCAAGCCCCCTCCAGAAAATGCTAAAGTTGAACATTCCAACGAGACCACCGAGCGGGGCCTTAGCAGTGTCAGGGCCCCGCTTGAAGAAGAGGAGATTGCTGGCGGTCGAGTTGAACAATGGCGCCGCAGTTGCTCTCCTCCACCCTACTCGCTGAGCTGCAGCTTGCGCTTGAGAGACTCAGGCATCTCCGGAGGAGGAGGGCGCGGTAGGCGGAAGTAAACCTTCACCGAGTCGTAGATGAACCACTGCAGCGCAGTGAGTGTGCCGATCATGATGATACGGGCAACCAGGCCCTTCCACACACCTGCATCAGCACAGACACATTTTAACAAAGATCCCCATATATATAGCCCGTTCAGACTATTGGGGCATGTGCCGTCAGCAAACACCAACACACATGCGAGTTTTCAGTACATGTGCGATTGCTTACGAATGAATCACCCGAGAATGCACCCGATCTCGTCAGTTCTCGAAAGCTAAGCATGACCAAGTCGGGAATGTGTTTGAATGGGTGACCAAGTACAAGAGAGCAGTGCGGCAAATTCGGTTGTTATAATATACATCCGTCCATGTTCGCACGTTCACCAACCAACACTGACCAGCATGGTAAAGAGTCGTCAAATAACCATATAGTACACGTACATGGTGAATGGGAGGGAGGCCCTCATCCAGCAGTGGATTGACAAAGAGGCCGTGTAGATGCTGTCAAGGCTACAGTCAACCAGAAACAACTTAACCAGCTCTTGCCGCACGCCCAAACTTGAAGGTGACAGGCAGGTAGTGTGTTTTTAAAGTGCAGTTCAAGTGTACCTCCGATAAGCACTGTTGGCTATGTATGGTGTGAAAAAAGTTCAACATACAAGTGCAAAAACATGGGCGAGTTGCAATGCTGGGTAATGTTGGCCCTCCCTCTGCTGATAATTCACTGACATGGCCGTACACAGCTCCTGCCGCCCGTCGAGCTCTGATCCCAGCACGAAGTGAAGCTGGTTCCACGTTAAGTGTGTGAATCAGGTAAAATGTAACATGCGAGGGGACTGGGAGGGTGGTGGTGTAGCGTGCGGTAAATTACCAAGGGGGCCGAGCTTTTTGAGGACGTCACCGGCGGTGCTGCCCTTCTCCTTGTTGAGCACCGACACCACCGAGTCGGCCGGGTGGGACACGATGGCGCAGAACACACCGGCTGTGCACGCGGTGATTGGGGGCGACAGGTCACAGTTGGGGTCATCACCACCACAACAACCATGAAAATTAGCGTATGTCATCATCGCCACCAAAATGACCATGTCATGACCACCGTCTCACATCGCCGTATTGATATTATCGCATTAACACAGTCACATCATGAACATTACCATCAAAATGTGTCAATCAACCATCATCAATAGCAATAAAATAACACACGACTTTAGTAGGAAATTACCATGCCGATATCACCACTGTATTACATCTCCGGACTATCACAATTGTGCGCCAAAAAAAACCAAGGATGGCAAGTGGATCTCAGGGATGACAACAGACTCTATTGGGTCAGAAATGAAAAGACAAGAAATAAAGCGAGAGTGGTGGTGGTGGTGTCCATCTCAGGCAAGCTGAAAGTCAACTCAGACGGCCAGGTGTGTCTTATAAAGAGAGAGAACAAAACAGCTCAAGAAAGGTGATAAAACATGGGAAGCACAGGGGGTGGACACAAAGCCAGATTTGCGATTACACGCAACAATTAATCGCGCCTCCTGGCAGAATAATGCCCAAATGCAGGTCAAGGCCAAACGAGTCACCGCCTCGTGTCCAAAAAGACAGCTGCCACTGGGGATGCCATTTGAATTGTTTGACATGGGATGTGCCGAATAGCGCTTTGAGTTGCCGAGGCATTTAATGCCATATAAATGTAAGTATTATTATTCATAGAAATAGCTGCTTTGTGGTGGCGAGCCAAAATATTAAGAAATGTAGAGTGGAAGTGGCACCCTCCAGAACGCAAGTGTGCTAATTATTACATCATAGCACAGCTCGCAACAAACTACCAAGATCAAACGAAGCTAGCGGTGGCGTCGCCGCTAGCTTCGCATTCTCATTTGTGATTTAGGCGGTAAGGAAGGGGAGGTGGTGGTGATCGTACCGATGTATCCGGCGGTGAAGGTGACGAGGAGCTGCTCGCCCTTGGTGCAGTCCGCGCGTGGCTTGGGCACCACAAACTTGTAGAGAGCTTCCACCGTGCGCTCAAAGCAAGCGAACTTCATCATGGTGTAGGGGATCTGCCGCATCCACAGCGGCACCACACCCTTATAGAAGCTGCACAACGGCAAACGCAGGAAATGTGCACGGTGTGAGGCACAGAGGAGACTCGTAGGACACATTGGTGTGAAGGATACAGAGAAGATGTAGGTGCAAGACATGGAGACACAGCGACACAAACATGTGAGACAAGAGGAGACGGACACACAAAGCTATGAGACACACAGGAGACAAACACAGTTACAGGATATAAGCAAAGGTACACATACAGAAGACAAGGTCACACGTGCATGTGGCATGCGCAGACACAGAGACAAACAGAACTCATGGATCGTGACATCAAACCGCGGGGCTGTTTGCCCTAACCACCACTTTTGCGCCAACCCACACTATCAGTTTACAAATTCCAAACACAGCCAGCTTGAAGCAGCCAGCGGCAGCACCAAGGTAGTGTCCGCACACTGATTGGGACCCAGCGGAGGGCGTGCCCTTCCTCCTCCCCTCTCCCCACCGGGCCCCCATTCATTCCATCATGAAGGGGACACGAGGGCCCCGGCAGATCGAGGCAGAATCGGTGTAGGCTGCCGCTGGGCCCGAATCGGACCAGTGCGCAGGTATATTGCTCTCACACGCCAATGACTCATGCACCTCCGACCGTGCAACCGAAAAAGTTGGTGGACCCAGGGCTGGGCGCCACAACCACCGCAACTCCCCGCCCTGCACAGGCGCACATCAGGCGGACCCCAGCGGGGTTCCCCGATGGGCGCCAGGGCAGAACGGGGAAAAACGGAAGAGGTGGAGACAGCAAGGGGTCCCAGAGGTGGATCTAAGGAACGTGTTATTCAAGATGCTAATTTTTTTTTCAGCCGGGCTCTGCCCTGGGTCAATATTTGACCCGGCACACCACATCTAATATACCTCCACAAACTATGGCTGTGGATACTCGTCATGACCCCTATTGCAGTTTACCAGCAACCCGGGAAAACATTTCTACATCTGGCACACCACCATATCCAGTATGGCTACTGGTCACATCTGCACCAGTCTATAGAGACCCAGAAAAAATTAAGCAGAGCACACCAATCACGACTGGCACTTTAGTGTACATATTTATAATGATGGATGCACAGAGCTGCGGGAAGGGGGGGGGGAATTTAAGAAACCTGTACCATTTTTTTGTACTCTCACGCCAGGAGATGGGAGTGAAACCGGCAACCTCTAAAATACAAGTCAATCATGCTACTCATCTGACCAAGGCAGCAAAGATTAAATTAGGCTACCATTACACCGCTCCATCATCCCAGACAAGAGTCTTAATGACGGTAGCGCGGTGCAATACTGAACAAACCATCACAATACAGACATGACAGCGAATGTTGCACAGCAACCACTTACGCCCAGACGCCCTCCTCTTTGTACATCTTGGGGAAGGCCTGGCGCAGTGTGTTGGCGAAGCCGGGTTGCGTCTGGATGCGCACCTTGCAAGCCTCCATTGGCGCCAGCGCAACGTCGGCAAAGAACTCGGCGCTGGCCGACGCCGCCAGGTACAACGACGTGCGCCACAGGTAGCAGTTTTCCTGCGGAACGGCACACCGAGACGGAACATCAGGTTTATGAGCGCCATGCCTTGGCAGACGATTCTCAAGCAGAAGTTAAAACCAGTTCAACATTTATGAGCGCAAAAACAGGTCATTTGTAACAGGTGATGGCTGTCGAGTGCACATTAAAAAGGTCAACGATTTCTGACCATTCCAGAATAATCTGTGGTAGCTAAATCTGGCTCGTAAAAGCCAAAACAAACTGGATTGCTTTGCCAATTAATTACCGGGCGGCCACGGCATATATTAATCAACTTTCTCCTCCAAAACCCGTACTCACGGCATATTTCGGCACTCACCTCACCGAGCAGATTGCCATAGAAGACCTTGAAGACCTCATATAAGCCAAACTTGCAGAGGCCCTGCATGGAGTAGCCGATGAAGGTGGGAGCCCATCCCTTGGCCAGGCCACGCATGCCCTCCTCACGCACCGACACCGAGAAGCCAGTGAAGATGCCCTTGTACTTGCCGGGGTCCACCTGCAACCAGGTGAACGTCAGGCACTCTTTGTAAGGAATACAAACCGCTGTGCCACCTAGTGGCCGCTTACTGTAAGGAAATTCACAAGTTGTTCTGTGCCATTCTTCCAGGGCATCTAACAAAGGGTGGTACACCTCTCATCACTGCCAGTAAATAACAAATGTTTTGTTATCTCATATCTGATTTAACGCCAATAGCACAAACTGCATTCGATTAGGTTTAGAACAGGGGGGTATGACACGAGTTCTGTTTCCAGCCACATTAAAGGTAAGCGGTGAGTAATATTGGAACGGGAGCTGGGGGCGCAGCCCCCCCCCCCCCCCATCTCCAACGTCAACGGACCAGAGTTAAGACGTATGGTCAAACTCCATCGTATTGAAAAAGGGGCTGCAGATTATTGATAATTTCACACACTACATTGGGGTAAAATTATTTTTTACAATGTCATGGATTACAACGACTGCTGCACACCTGAATGCGGCATTTGACCAGGTCGAGGGGGACGATGGCCGTGTGAGTGATGCCGCAGCTCAGAATGCCACCAAACCCACAAAGCACGTAGAACTTTGTTGAGCCGTATTCACAGCTGCAGTCGTCTGTAAGTATCGCACAAAAATGCACGACCGTACACAACACAGCACACCGTGCGGGTTTGATTCGTGCACACAGCATGGTTAGGACGCTAAAAACACACAAAACCATTGGTTAGTTGTCACTCAGGTTAATACAAACAAAAGAATGCATATGTATCAATTCTATGACACTTCAATACGCATTCTTCGTATTTAAGTAGCAATGGCGTTACATTCCGAGCCATATAACGAGATGACGTCACATTCTTCATGACGTCATGGTGATGAGAGGAAGGTGCAATTGTTTAGTGAAATTCTGAGCAACTTTGCATTAATGCTTTAATAACTTGGTTGTAAAGTGCAAAAAACACACCAACATTTGAACAACGTAACCCTTGAATTGAGACGTGTACATGTGTTTTTTGTACGTGTCGCTTGGCTGCCAAGTCTGTCATAAATGCCCGTGCAAGCTCAGCAACACTGTGCCCACCCCACCCACATTCCGGCCAGCGCCGCCCCCCCCTTCAAGGTTGGACTAATCGCTCCAAGGGCACCTTTTGGAGACCCGCAGCCAAGAGGATGCAGGAACGGCGAGGAAACAAATGAACGACTGCAATGTATAAATAACAACCTTCGCAAGGTTACAAAACTTGACAATAATCTAAACTTCACAAGTTTAAATTATTGTAGTTCCTTGGGTAAAACCACTACGTGAGATTTATTATTCACTTTGTATGTCTTTAAATGACAAGGCAAATGGAAATATTGTTTTATGCACTCAGTGGGAGGATTTTAGCTATTTTATTGCAGTAGGGCATCCATTTTCCCTCTGCCTCCGACTGCCTCTAAAATACGCCACCATTCTGTACAGCAAATTGGTGCAATTACATTAAGATGTGATGTACAAAGTTGAATTGTACTGTATAATTGTATTAAGAGTGCCTTAGAAAGGGCTAAAGACTTTGATTTGGATTATGAATATCGTAGATTTTCAAAGTGTATAGTTCAGGTTAACGATTCCAAAATAGCATTAACTTGTGACTTCAAATGGGTATGAGATTCCAACTCTAATTTGGGACACCTACATGGGATTAAAACTTAGCATAGCAAGGGAAATGTAATTAAAAGTGCAGACATGTGACCTACACTAATAACAAAGCACGAAATCAAACCACAACAGGGTTTTTGATTAACTTTAGCCGAACTCCTGTCTCCAAAACTGCAGTGTGCAAAGAACCAGCTGAATGTAGAGCTTTACATTTCCCTCATGAGACATGCTTGTGCTCGTCAGACCCTGTGATCAATTATAAAGATTTTTGCAGCATTATCGTCCGTGTAAGGTTTTCAGGAAGTAGCGAATTTTGTTTGGAATATCCCATGTTTTGCTTCACGTTCTGGGTGCTTCCTCAAGAAATTAATTTCTTGAACCGAAGCTCCCAGCTCATGGGGTGAAGCATCACCAATGATGCCAAACTATCACTACAACGCACAAACACTCAAGCAGTTGAAATTAAACTGACAACTAATTATTATGAACCGACAATTCCATTTAGAATTCCAAACTGAAATTGATCTCAGGTCTGGTGATGGCTGTTGAAGAAGCAGGCTGGGTCGGTAGCTTGTTTTTTGGGGTTAGAACGAGCAGTCAAAAACCGGGGTAGGCATCACAAACACCATGCCAACACCTCACTCCGTGCCACACACAATGGACGCACCTGGATGCGGCACTTGACCAGGTCAAGCGGCACTATGGCCGTGTGCGTGGTGCCACAACTCACGATGCCGCCAAAGGCGCACAAAAGGAAGTACTTGCTCGAGGCGTACTCGCAGCTGTCCTCTGCCAGGCCGAGAACAACGGGGTCCTCGTCAGGCAACGAAGCAAGAGCGCCAACACTCGTTAACAGCGCCTGCTAGCTACCCCCATTCGTTGAAGCGAGACCGACTACAGTCTCAACCTCTCGTAGGGATACCAGTTCAGTGGCAACAATAAATTGATGCCAAAATTGTAAATTCAACGGATGGCTTTGGCGGAGAGCAAGTGAAAGTATGCTACTCCTGCCCTCTGAGAAAGCTCCGCTGACTTGAGTTAATGGTGTGCTCCTGCGCTTGTTGCGGCGTGTTGCATTCATATTGGCCGATTGTTTGACCTTATTTGTGGAGGTGATTAAGACCACAATGATTAATTACAGACTTGGTCATGGCAAAGGCTTTGATTGTCACGATATTTTTTTGTAAATTTCATACCCAAAAGTGCGGGGATAAAAAAATGCACGGAAAGGTCAAGGAATATGGTCAGGCAGTCCACCCCTGAACATATGGCATTTATAAATGATACAAAGTGCCTAATCATTTATTTCTAAGACCATGTGCAAGATATCACTTTGGTCTTTGTTAAAATTTCGATTTCTGTGACGACCGTGACATTGTGCCAAAATCACAGCTGTATTCATCACGTGGCAGAATGGTTAGCGCAGTCATATAAACTCGGCAAAATTTATTTGTCTTGGCAACTGATTAATGACCATTTAATAATCCGCACTAACAATGACCGACATGAAGTGGGAAAGCCTTTATGCAGCAGTGGCTTAAGACAAAATTATTTTTTGTAAAATTATTCTTAAACTATTCTCTGTGCACATGTAAAATATAAGTTACCAACAATCGTTTTTAAAATGTTTAGACAAGGCATCTGTTTTTGCCTCCACTTGTATGGAGGTGCAGTAAGCATATTAGGTGCTTTATTAATGAGACTGTACCGTGCCAAAAATAATTGTATAAAAGGCAGTATAATACTCGACCAAATTACCTTGAAAAACAGAACACATAATTTGCCGTACACAAACAATGCTCTTGTTACCGTCAGAACATGTTTTAACCTACTATTCGTAACACCCCAGTTCTCCTTTACAAAGGAAGCCTCATTCTATCCAGATACCGACATGGATAAAGTTCATGAACGAACATACACAAGCGTGCCATCTCGTTTATGTAACGTGCACAATGCCCTTCATATTGTACTGTATTGGTGCCTTTGCATGTCTGACGCAAAGCCCCCTCCGCAATTACAAAGATTGCTTTAATAAAATTGGATCATTAACAGTGGGATTAGTAGGTACATTTGGGTGACAATGCAGCTGCCAGGCTATCAGTCTAACATTAAAGCACACACAAGCTGCTCCACGCTTGAACTTTGCCCAGTTTCACTAAGTGGCATTTACCAGGGTTAAACGGACACTGTGCACAACCTGTAAATCAGCTGTAAGTTTTAATGCTCTAGTTCGGGAGTAACTGCAGTGAATGCTTAACAGCGCCAGCCACGTGTTCGCCCTCCCACGTGGCCAGGTATATGGATGCCAGCAGCAACTATAGCTGACTGCCTTGCCTGATTGGGAGGGGACAATAAAACAAACCCTTCATATATTCCGAAACTATCTTCTTGAGTAGAAGAATCCTATAGATTGTTTAAACATATGTACATTAAACAGGTCTGGCAAACAAGGGATCACAGGAAAAAGTTTAACAAAATATATTCGATTAAAATACTTGTACTAAAGTCCAGGTCTTAACCACGCTTCGTATAATTTGTAGGCTCCAAGTTAAAGTTAGTTTAATTGTAAAGTTTTATTGACTACAAATTAAAGTAATTTGAATGGAAATCCACTTTTGATGTGGAGTAACGATTAATTTCGATTTCAAATCGAAATTTGAAATGGCAATTAGATATTTCCCCCAAATCGTTCAGCCCTCTACCCCTTATCTCCAACTGTGTGGAATTCAAATGGCAGACAAAGCCTTGAGAGTTTCCAATTACCCAATGGGACCACCCCGCATCGCATTCCTTCACCAGCACTAGTGGCACCACTGCATAATGATTATTACTATTAAAAAAATTGTCAAATGGTGGAAGCTACAATCTCATCCCCTAACCCCAACACGACTCGCCCACGTTTTTCCAAGCATGGTTGATGCCACACCCGATATCACGCCGTCTGATCACACAAACCAAACGTTGAACGGCTGCGGTATATTTCACCACATCACCAATAAAACTAGTCGTACGTGCAAGCCGTGTGTGTACTATGTACAAAACAAGTGATAACCACGCACAGCCAACACACACGGACGCTATTGCATACGTCTTCTTCTCTTGCCTTTTGAGTCAAATGGAGACTAAAAGCGAGGAATCTGCCAAATATTTTAGGCGCGCACGACTCGCCTCTCCCTGCCAAAGGCCGCATCCCGATCCTCACCACCCCCAACCAACTCACCCCCAGTCAGCGCTTCAAGGCAAATACGTCGGGAGTATGCTGCGGTGAGTGGAAATGTGGGTGAAAGGGCGCGACAGCATAGAACCGTGTGCTGCGACACGAGGGCTAGAAACAAACCTCACGTTTCACCTAGGTCAGGGGTCGGCCACGTGCGGATCCCGGAGGCGGCACGCGGCTCTTTAAGGACTGGCTTCGCCAAGGACCACTGCGTCTCTTGTGTCACCACACACAGTGCACTGCCCGGCTCTTGCAATATTGAGTTTAAAAAAAAAATTGTATCGAATTCGAAACCGCTTTTTTATTTTGCTAATCAGCCCGTGCGCTAGTCTACTCATCCCCCCTAGGTCGAGTCCACCTTAACAAAGGGGTGCCTGGTGCGGTGTACAAAGATCACCACAGCCGGCTTTAGTAGATGCTCTAGCAAAACTTCCTCCAACCGCCTATATGGGTACACAGGGGGAGGGAGGAATGTCTTTAAAAACTCTCGCATTAATTACATTACCACCATTACCTCCTCGGTTGAGTTAAAGGGCTACAGGTTTTTGTGACCGTAGCACTGGTAAAAGCATCGAGTCCCTCACCCGCGTAGAACATGGACTTTGTTGATGAAATAATAAATGAAAGGCGTTAATAAATGAAAGGAGCCGATCGTTGGGTGAAGGACGTTTGCAATGACAAAGAGGAAGCTTCCGCAATGGAGGTCACGAGCGAGCTGGCCTACTCTTTACAGGGGATACAGCACTTGTAAAGCTCCCAAACAGCCAAGCTTGCAACATAAGATCACAGGACTTGACCGTTACCAAAAGCCCACAACGTAAACCCGAGACCCCACACACGCGCAAGAGTTTATATAAACGCTCTCGAGCGTTACATTTAAATCACGCGCTGCGAACAACCCAACTCGCGCCCTTCAACGCTCACAACCTCTCACAACCAATCTTTCTTGCCGCAGAATCGCTTTGCCCACCCCCGCCCCCTCTCACCGCTCGCGGACGCTGCGGCAAGTTGACGGCGGGGAGCCACCAGCTCCGACGAAGGCGACGAGGCGGCGGGAGACGAGGGCGAGGCGATGGCGCCATCGTCGCGAGCGAGGGTGAAGTGCGGTCTGTGGAAGAGGTTGCTCCTCGACGCGGGCAGGACGGAGGTGAACATCTCTGGAAACTGGGCTTTCGGGCGTCTTCTTTAATTAACCGCTCAAAAAAACCCCACAAAACCGCACCTGCACACGCGCAACGGACGCGCAAGCCTTACAATCCCCTCACAAAATGTTTTTAAGACCGAATGCCACGCCCGCGCGGGGTCTTTATTTTATATCGAAACGCCTCAAGGACTCTCACCCACCTCCCGGTTCCCGCCGGTCTTGCAAGATGGACGTCTCCTCCACCAAAAGACACCGAGGTCGGAAATACGTCACGTCCGCGAACGGTGGGGGGAGGGAAAGAGGAGGGGCTAGGGCCCGAGCTCCTCCCCCCCACAGCACCACCGCCGCCGCTCATTGGTCGCCCACGGGGGGAGTCACGTGGAGCGCGCGAGAACAACCGCCGCGCGCCCGCCCCGACCGGCGGCAAGGTCACCGGCGGTGACGTTGACGATCTCTGTGACGTCACGGCCGGCGCGTTTCTTGGGTTTCCGCGCGCCCCACGTGATTGAACGCGCGGGCCCATGCCAGGTCAGAGGAAATAATTTTTTAACCTCCACCACCCCCTCCCACCTTTCTCCAGATACGGTCGTGACTGGATCGATACTATAGATTATTAAGCCGGTTATACACGTGAGGAATTTAATTCGCGTCAATCGTTGTCTCTTTCCATTCGTATATGTTGCGCGTGAAGGTGCACGCGATTGTTGCAGGCGGCAGAGCGCGGAATTTCCCGTAGCGGTTGTAGCATCGCGTGCAATAACTGAATTGATTCCGAATCGATTCCAACGACGACTTGGAAAATGAATACATCGATTGTGCTCGCGATACTGTTCATATAAGTGTTTTAAATCGATTAATATCGGTTTTTGTTGTTGTAATTGTTGTAAGTAAATCATCGAGCATTTATAAATATCTACACGCACACACTGGCGAAAGAAACAATTTTAACTCTTGAATCGAATCGAGTAGTCGATTCCTGAACGGGGGGGGGGGGGGGAGCATCGTGATATGGCGACCTCGTGTAGAGGTTGAGCTGGAGGTGAACTTTACTTCATACTCTTTATTTATACTGCAGGAGGAATCCGATGAGCTATAAAGCTCTTTTTTTTGATAGATCAGAATATTTATAAAGGAGGAATCCAATGAGCTATAAAGCTCTTATATTCTTGGTTATTTCGGTAAAGTCACGTTGAAGGGAACCAATTAAATAATAAAATATATAAAACAATTAAAAAAATTCTCACGACGTTTCGACTGCAACACAAGCAGTCATCATCAGGTGTGAAAACCAACGGCAAGAATATTTGAAAGAAGTGGCGGTTTGTATTTATTATTTATTTATTACCGTTAGCGCCACGGGCAGCGATTTGATAGTTTGTTTAGATGGACGAGTCCATCTATGTTCTTAGCTCTTTCGGTAAAGTCACGTTGAAGGGAAACAATAAAATAATAAAATATATAACAATACAAATTCTCACGACGTTTCGACCATAACACAAACGGTCGTCATCAGGTGTGTCGGTTTGCATTAATTTATTTTTAAACGGTGTATTCATTTATTTTTAAACGTTAGCACCACGGGCAGCGATTTGGCAGTTTATTTAGAGGGACTAGTCCATCTATGTTCTGAAAAGAGGAGGGGGGAGACGAAAAATTAATGTATGCTGTCTGAAAGCCACTGTAAGCGTGAACAATCAATTAAGAACTGAAATGGTTTATCAAATCCTTCCAATGATTGCTAAGCCAGAATCCATCTTCTCGGTTGAAATTGTCTCTGTGCTTGTATATGTGGATAGCCTCATGAACGAATCTCTCATGGTAGCCAGATGGCTTACAAAGAACCTCTGTCTTGGAGAAGTCAATGTCATGTGAGCCTACTGAATTATAACAATGATCTGCCACGGCCGAGGTGTTGGTCCTACCGTGTTTAAGGTCTGCTTTATGTTCACGAATGCGGTCCGAGACATGGCGTTTGGTTTCTCCAATGTAACTACTACCACAGAGGCAACTTAGTTTGTAGACACCAAGGTATTGTATGTCCGGAATCACATCTTTTACAGACGGAACCAGATCACGGATTTTATGTAATGTGTTGAAACGGAGCTTTCGTGACTTTAAAACAGTCTGCCTCAGCAACTTTCCCCCTCTTTTTTTCTCCTGATGACGATCGCTTGTGTTGGGAATCGAAACGTCGTAATTTGTTTTAATTTGTATTAATTTGAACCTATCTACGTGACTTTACCGAAAGACCCAAAGAATATGAATTCCATGCGGTAATTATCCCCTCACCCCTCCCAGTTGCCTTTAGATTCTTAAAAAAAAAGTCGCCTCACTTTTTGGCGGGAATTTGTTTTGTTTGTGGGTTAATCCGTCGTGACGTCACATCCTTCGCTCCCCCCACCCCGCCATCTCTTCCATCCACCAGTCCGCGTCCAATCACGCGCGAGTTCGAATTTATTTATTTATTTATTTCGACAACCAATCCGGCGCAAGTCGCGCTGAAGAACGGGGCTCGCGCTTATCCGCTGTATGTTTTTGATCGGTGTCCCTCGTCGCGTGCCGGGGCTGCCCCGCGATAGGGGGGGGAGGGGGGATTGGAATCCGTAGAGCGGATAGGAGGCGCGAAAGTAGCGGGAATCGGGACTTAAAATTCGGGGCCTTCTACCTCGGGATCGGTACGGGGCCTGGGACGGGCCTCACACACGCGGTGCTAACAGATGAAGTGGGGGGTGGGGGGGAAATTACTGCGTATGATAATCACAATATGATTGCGTTGTAAAGTGCCCAGGAAAGTACGCTATATAAATCCTAAATAGAATAGAATCATTATATAGCGTATCGAGATGCCGTGTCATAAAGTACGCGCGCGTGATCACTTTCCCGTATAAACAAGTGGAATATAACAGTGACACCAAAACACGTAATATACACGTGTTTTTATATGTTTGGACGTGTAATATAAACTTAACGTAAATAATATTGAATTGTACTTCCTCAATGCACTGCTGGTTTAAGTTGTAAGGGAGTCATCGTGTCGTGATTTGGTGGCGGAGGGGTGTTTAACCATACTTCACCACGCTAGTCAGTACTGGTTAATCGAAGCCGTGTTGTGGGGGATCTTCAGTTTCGCGGTTCAGGTATTACTCGCCACTGATGTGAGCCGTGACCAGGAATGGAACTCGGGCAGCCGCTATGATAACAACAGTGTCACCCAAAACCATTATCACTTTTACAATTGGCCCCTCGGGGTACGATTGGTGATTCTGCAATGCGCCTACGTTTGTGTATTTGCCCAAAGCTGTCTCTGAACTTCGTATCTATTACCTGCGTATGGAATTCAAAACAGACCGAGTTTATTACTTTGTTATTTTATTTCAGGAAGGGCCCAATGAGCTGTAAGGCTCTATTTCATGGGTGTCCTATGATCGCCCAGATGTTATACTGTAAAGGTCTTAGTGACACAAGCATGGTTACATAGGTCGCGATACAAAACAGCAAGTACTGGTACATGCTTCAGACGTCTTGGAAGAAGTAGGCATACCCCCACATTTCACGTGACCTGCAGATCGACTAAGCGCGGTGTACCCTTTTGCACTGCCCCAACTACGGCACCAGGAGATGGAATTGAACTGGCGAAGTCTAGATGGAAATTCCATTGTGCTAACCATTTCACCACTGGCAGCTCCATTCATTTCTTAGTTGTTGCGATTCGTGGCCACAATTGGACCTCGCACAGAGACCCATAGACTCAAAATTTTAAATTTTTCGACTGGAGGAATCCGATGAGCTATAAAGCTCTTCACACACGATAGACATCTGAGACCCACAGTACATGGCCCAGCAGTCGTCGCGCGCTCGCCGCTTGTTGCAGACGTTCACGGTTTAAATCCCGAGTTAAAGACCCGACCCCTACCGACGTAGTTTGCAAGCGTAGCCACCGTGTGGCAGTGTCATAATTTAACACATTTTAAAATTACTATATAACACAAATGTACTCAATTTGGAGTATTCATAGCAATCATCGCCCCCCCACCCTGGCAGACAAACGCCCCAGGCCACTCTTGTAAATAGACTATCCTGGTCTTATTAGTTCTCACTTGGTTAAACTAAATAGATTTGAAACTTGATAGACTCATAGACCCATGCTATACAGTTGAATGTGGTATAATTGATGCATTGTACTTCACAATCACAAGTGACTTGAAGAGACTCATACAGATTCCAATTGACTCAGACTCGCATAGACACTTAGACTTACATGAAACCCATAGACTTGCATAGGGACTCATATATTCATATAGGGACCACATAACGACCCATGCTCGACAAATATCAGAATACTTATTGATACTGGAAGATCCGATGAGATATAAAGCTCTTTTTCACAGATGTCCAGTCGGTGATGGCTTGTGTCATGGACCGTCACAATCAGGCGACTCTTTGATGCCTTCATTCAAACACCTCTCCCGTGTGTTCTAGCATGGTTAAGTGCAATCCAGTAACTGAACTAAACTCCTGCTTTGTGTGGGATGGAGGTCCAGAAACAGGACTCGGATCCGCTACCCTACACATCGTCCCCTCGGCTACTCTCGGTGGCGCCAGGTCGCCCATACCAGGCTCGACCATGTGCGGCCGCACTGCGTGCCCACTGCCGGCGGGCCAGGTGTCGCGGGCGTGCACGTACCGGGACAGAAGGGGCCACCGAACCGTGCCGGCGTGGAGGGATGGCGACGCCGCCAAATACCGGCCATCCTTCAACAAGAGCCCCAGCACTTTCTGCCCCGTGCTCGTGTCCAAGCGACACTTCTGCCAGGTGTTTGGCCACCACAGGGGACTCGGGAGTCCCTGAGCAGGGATTGGTCGGGCAGGGAAGGAGCTGTGATGGCTGTGCGTGAGGTTCTTGTAATTTCTGGATATTTGCAGCGTAATGATGCGTAGATTCAACGTGTAGGTATACCGACAGTTAAGCTCACAGCACTTGCCCTAACAGTCTGTTAAGGCTATGTGGGGATCTTTGTTGTGTGAGGATCCATAGTTTTTTTTTAATTGGTATATGATGAACTTGTAAGGCAGATGAGAGCAGGTTGGAGTGCTTTTGGAAAACTAAGATAAATGTAAAAATATTCCAAAGTTTTTAAAGCGTGTATGTTACCCTGCTATTTTGACATTGACAAATAAATTGAATGAGCACAAGCAAAGCGTACATAAATGTACGAAATTGCACTGAGAGACGGGAAGAGAAACGCACACACGCAGGACACGACGCTACGACAGACGATGGCTGGTGGTCGAGACGAATGACGTCGTGGCAGCCAAAGGAGGGAACGCACCCACGAGGATGGCCGGCCACGGAGATAGAGCAATGAGGTTGTGTCCATATGCTAGACGGATGGTTCCATTGCAACACGATAACAGATGCCGTCGGCGTGGGCAGACTTTTTACACAGTTCAGAGATTAATGGCTGCTGATGTTGAGGCAGGATGCGGATGTTTTTTTTTTAATTCATGTTGGTGTTTGCATTGATGCCACAGATAATGTTAGCAATGTCGACGAGGATAAAAAAATCATGGCGATGCCGCTATTACCGCCGCAGGACGCGGAGCCTGGTGAGCGCGTCCTCGCCGCCATGCGCTGGGGCCTCGTGCCGCTGTGGTCCCCTGAGCCGACCTCCGCCTACAGCATGAACAACTGCCGCAGCGACACCATGACCCAGAAGAAGTCCTACCAGGTGTGGATTCTCCAGCGTTGTCTGTTCATCTACGCCTAATCATGAATGCGTGACCTTTTTCTTTACGTGTGATTATCAATCGGCGCATGATCGTAGACGTGACTGGCCTGACATACTGTGACAGACGGAGGGAGGTATTGCAAAAATACTTTCAACCTTAGTTGTAAAGTGCTACTAAAAATGATATTGGGCCTGGCACATCTTTCTACCGCAGGGGCCCCTCAACAAGGGCCAGCGCTGTGTGGTGGTGGCCGACGGCTTCTTTGAGTGGTACAGAGGCACGGGCAGCAAGACCAAGCAGCCATACTTCATTTACGCACCGGAGAACCGCGACCGCCTAAACCTGCTGCTCGTAAGTACAGCCGGGTGCAGTGAAGTCGATCAATCGACTTATTTTATGCTCGATTACTCGTGGTCCCTGTAAATATTCCAGCCTGCCTCCTGAAGGCGGGAACCGCCCCCCCCCCCCCCCACAAGCCATGCCCAGTGTGACCCAGTCAGTGATGTCTTAATGATAATAACTTAGCTTTAAACAGGTACCTGGTGCGGTGTGTTAACATCAGCACTGGGGGAGACAAAGGCGGCCAGGTACGGCATTGCACCACACCGCCCCCTCGTAAACTGTGCTGGAATTAATCGTAGCTTTCTAACGAAACTTTATTCTCCAGAGACTCTAAAGTCCACGTGAGGAATATTTCCTTGTGTCTTTGTACAGGAGGCGGCTGAAGCGACCACCAGTGATGAGAACATCAAGATGGAGGAGCTGAAGGAAGAGGTGAAAAAGGAGGGGAAGGTGAAAAAGGAAGAGGAGGTGAAGGAGGAAGTGAAGGAGGAGGTGAAGGAGGAGATGAAGGAGGAGGTGAAGGAGGAGGTGAAGGAGGAGGAACGCTGCGGTGGGGAGGAGGAGGTTGAGGAGTGGCGTGGCTGGCGTCCCCTCACGATGGCGGGTCTCTTTGAGTGCTGGCAGGGTGCGGGGGCTGAGGAGCCCCTCTACACCTTCACCGTAATCACTGTAGACGCGTCGCCCACCCTGGCCTGGCTGCACCACCGGTACACACGTGTGTGTGTGTGTGCTTGTGTGAGCGGTAGTGGGAGCGGTAGTGTAGCGGTTAGCACGCTGCGCTACGAACGCAGCGACCCGAGTTCGATTCCTGCTCACGGCCAACACCTAAACCGGTCCTGGGCCTCCCCTAGGTCGACTCAGTCTCAAATGAGTACCCGGTGTGAGGTGTAAATATCAGCACTGGAGATACAAACGCAGCCGGGCGCTGTGGTGGCCACCCACCTCCTCGTGTGCCGTGCAGGCCTTCATAGGCGCTCACTAACAGCACTTGTGCCAACATTCTGTTGAAGGCTATACGGGGGATTTTTTGTCCGTGTCTGAGAGGGTGAAGAAGTTTCCGTACCTGGGTATTGTGCTTATGACCAACTCCAGTCTGGCAGCAGAGTTCTCAGTCCGATTCAGCCGAGTGGCATAATCTTTTTGTCAGCTGTGTAACGCTGTGTAGAAGCTGAATTGTGTGAAGAGCTCACAAATCTCTAAAAGATCTGGACATGTTCCCATCAATGAGCTCTGACGGGCAAGGCTGCGTTGGCTGGGTCATGTAGCCCACATGCCCAGTTACCACATGTCCAAGCAGCTTCTGTTTGGATGGATAGGGGCTAAACTGGCACGGCATAGGCCGGAGAAGAGATGGACCCGTACCAGTCCAGATCAACCTCTAGAGGAGGCTCATGAAGGACGCTGCTGGGTAGTTGGAGGCAGTTGCCCTCCAACAACAATGGGGGCAGAGGAGCAATGCTCACAATGAGCAAAGCTCAAGGTGGCGAAAATGCAGTAAGTAGGGGGCACAGATGGTCCATCCGCCAGTCATCTGAGAGAGTTAACCCATGGTACCTAGGACTGTCCCGTGAACTTTCAGCGACACTTCGACACTTCATGCGGCCTCGGAGTGCACCTGGCCTGGCACAAGCGCTGTGGTGACATCACCGCCACTTAGTGGCGAGTGGTGGCTGTTGTGTCCGTATGTGTGGAGCGGTGGTGTAGTAATTAGCGCACTTTACTACAAACTCAGTGTACTGAGTTTGATTCCTGCTCAAGGCTAACACCAGTGACGATTATCTGAACTGGTCCTGGGCCTCCCCTAAGTTGACACAGCCTTAAGTGAGGAATTGGAGCGATGTGTAAAAACATCACCACTGGGGAGACAAGAGGCGGTCGGGGGTGGTGCTGGCCACCTACCTCGTGTACCGTGCCGGCCTTCATAGGTGCTCGATAACAGCTCTTGCCCCAGCAGTCTGCTACAGGCTATGCGGGGGATCTTTGTCTTTGTGCCGTAGCATGCCGGCCATCCTAGAAGATGACGACGCCGTGCGGCGCTGGCTGGACTTCGGCACGCTGCCCGGCGGCAAGGCGGCGCTGGATGAGCTGGTGCGGCCGAGCGAGCGCGTGGCTTTCCACGCCGTCTCCACCTTCGTCAACAACTCGCGCAACAACTCGCCCGAGTGCGTGCTCGAGGCACGGCCGCATGCCCCTGCCACCGCCGAGAAGCCGGTACGATGCAAAACACGGCATCGGGCAGAATACTGCACCCGGCAATGCACCTGGTAAATACACCATGTCCGGAAAAATACACGTGGTGCCTGGCAAGACACGGGGTACCTGGCGAGATACGGGGTACCCAGAAAAAAACGTCTCACGGTCGTCTGGAGGCAGATTGAGAAAGGGTGAGTGAGCATTGTCTTTTGGCCCAAACTAGAATGGGATGGCGGTGAATGGAAATCACGGAATCATTTTGTGTTCGCACAATTATTACAGTACACTGCTATCACGCGAAAAGGCATGACGATTCACAGACATAGTCTGCAGGAGTTTCGTAGTCGGGGGGCGGTGATTGCCGTGCATTTCCCCACGGTGTAATTTATGGGTAACTAGCTGTACTACCCGGCTTCGCCTGGGACTTGGATCTACCACGCCCGGCCACCTTTGTCTCCCCAGTGGCGATGTTCACACACCACAGCAGTTTGAGGCTGAGTCGACGTAGGGGAGGCCCAGGACTGGTTAAAATAATCGTCACCGCCGGGTTTGTAGCACAGCGCGCGAATCGCTACGCAGTCCCCCCCCACACACAGACAGGATAAAGACAAAATCCCCCGTGTAGCCTGTAGGGGGCAAGTGCTGTTCGCAAGCACCTATGAAGGCCAGCACGGCACACGAGGGGGTAGGTGGCCAGCACCACGCCCGGCCGCCTTGGTCTCCCCAGTGGCGATGTTAACACACCACACCAGTTACTTGTTTGAGGCTGAGTCGACCTAGGGGAGGCCCAGAAGCGGTTGAAATAATCGTCGCCGGTGGTGGCCGTGGGCGGGAATCGAACTCTGGTCGCCAGGTGAGCGCGGCGCGCTAACCGCTACACGACAATGCGTAACGCTTCCACATGCGCGGGTCACGTGACAGATTTGACGTCACAGCTCACTTGCTGTGCAAAACATATATGCATTATTGAGCTCTCCCCCACACCCCCCCCCCCCCAAAAAAAAAGGTGTATTTTTATAATTTTTGCATGGTGTACAGTCTGGAAAGTACCCACTTGGCAAATTTCCAGTTTGTTGCATGTCAGGAAGTACGCTAAACATTTTGAACAGACACACATATTCACAACTTTGCCTTTTATATATATGGAGATATTTCAAATTTGCAGTGACGCCGGCACACATGGCCCATACACGTGGCACGTATTATTACTCTCGTTTCTAGGCTGCGTGTACATTGTTTCTGCCTGATAAGTTTCTCATCATTTTACAGAAAGTGTTAGAATTGGTTATTTAAATGCACGTTGTATCATGCACATATAGTCTATCTTGTTATGGCTCATTTATTCCACGACCCAAAAGCTAACGTTTCATTTTCACAAAGCGCATTCAATTTTCACACGCGTGATTATATGCGCATATCACGAGATATTATTTGAATGGATAGATGAATCAATTCATACTGCTTGGGTTTTCGCGCTTGTACTGTGTAGCTGTCCACGATGTTTGGCGTTGTTACCGGGCGTTGTTTGAAGCGATGTCCGACGTTTCGCTTCTTTGGGAAGAAGCTCCCCAGCGTATGGAGTGAAACGTCAGGACATCACTGCCGAATAACGCGCAGCACAACCCAAGAAGGCATCGGAGAGAATCGATGAGACGCCCACGCCGTAACCGTGCCTCCGATTCCCATCTTCCTTCTCTCCCCTGCCTCTTGGGGCAGCAGAAACCCAAGGGCAGCAGCCTCCTCATGATGAACTGGCTGAAGAAGAGTGAGAAGAAGGAGGATGAAAATGCCCCATTTGGCACTAAGTTGGAGCCTCAGGAAAATGATGGCGAGGAGGAAGAGGAGGGAAGCGTCACGAAGAAGATGAGGCTTGCCTGACCGCCACCTCGTACAGATGCGAGGAGGGCTAGATATACTGGTGGGGGTGAAGTGATGTGGAAGAGATGCAAACACCGTTGAGTCAGTGTCACTCGTCCCAGGTGGCAGAAAGTTAGTGGTATACGTTTCTTTATATGGCAATGTCGAAAAGAAGAGGTTATTGCATAGGCATCCCAATAATAATAAAACTACCCCTAACAAATCTAGTCATCCAGTCAACCAGTCACTTGTACCTGCACTTTCTCTGGACCCTAACCATACGAGCTTAGCAAACACTAGCCAGACAACCAGCCGCTAGAACGAGCCCTTTTACAGACTGTAACCTTGTCACCAAGGTACTTTATTTTACTTTGTTCATACTTCACTTTTGTTGTTCACATCGCTTGCAGACACAGGGAGAGTGAGTTGAGCCACCGCCAAAGCTTTGCGATGAATCCCTGGAAGCAATGCAGCCATTCGTCACTTTCACCAAAAATGACATTCGATCCCTCGCAGGCCGTCAAGTCGACGATCGCGCGGATCCTCGCTTCCACCTCTTGACGTTCTCGTCAATCGCCGCAACGGAGAGCGACGGCCACACTGAGGGACCCGTACCTGTGTGTTTACTGTGCAATGTTTGTTGAATGTCTTGAGCCTCGGCACTGTTAATGTTAGTTTTCTCAGCAGATGTATGCTGTTGAAGCCGAGGGGGCTTTCGAGTTGATCTCCATTCCAGGGGTATTCTTTCCGTAACTGCAGTTGGAAGAAAATGTGAAAACGGTAAAGTTTCGGAAACATGGTGTATTTGCTTGCTTTCAGAAGGGTCTCTACTACAGTGAGCTTGAGAGTCCCTCAAGAGGGTATTTTGCCCTATTCTTTCATACTGGCCAGATGTCTTGGAAGAGGTGGGAGAAGCCACACTTTACTCCACCACACCTGGCCTATTCTTTGGGTCTTTCGGTATAGTCACGTAGATAGGTTCAAAGAAAATAACAAATAAGCTACGTTTCGATCGCAACACAAGCGTTCGTCATGTGTTGCGATCGAAACGTCGTAGTTTGTTATTTTTTGTTATTTTCTTTGAACCTACGTGACTTTACCAAAAGACCCAAAGAATATAAATTCCTGCAGTCACGAAAGCTTTAAGTAAAGATTCACACATGGCCTATTAAGAAACATAACTGGAGATGACCGGACCAGATCAGAAAACATTCAATGTTGTGTGGGACCACCAAAATCTACTGCATCTGTGTAAAATTAAACGTCATGCAAATTCTGACAATGCACTTTGATTGCCCCTGTGATATAGAGACCCTGATAGCAATGTAAATGATGATGAGGGTTATGTTCTCATGTTGTGATTTGTGCTGCATTAATTAAACAAAGTTTGCGACGTTCTCCGAGAGCCGCATTTGGAGCTGCTTCACGGTTACAGACTGTTCAAACTGTCTCTTTTCCCCCAATATAGCTCTCCACTTAAACATTTATCTTGGTTTTGACATTCAGTGTCTCATCAGCAGAATTGGGCTCGCTCTGCTGACCGAATTTCAAAACCACTCCAAAGTGCGCCCGTATTGAACCAATACTGCAAATTTGTACTCCCGGAAGGCCGTGTTGGCCGATGGGATGTGTGAAAAACACTTGCGTGGAGATGGTGGGAATTAGGGCGCGTTATTGATTTACGTCTGGAATGTTCTCCATGACGCTTAAGTGTCATTTTGTGTTACTACGGAACTCTCGACTTCGCAAAGCACAAATAAAGAACGGCATGTTTAAAACTGTTTATTTTCAAGTTTTTTTCTTGCTTTTAAAGTCCAAGCGAAGGGTATGTTTTGTATTGCTTAATCCCTACTACAGTATATGCCTTTACTTCATACACTTCAGTGACCATGGGCACATCACTACTTATCCCCCTCACCTGTAGGCTTGCAATGATATAAGTGAAGAACACTTGGGTAATTTTTTTACTTTCTAATGTTTAATCATCTTTTAGGTGTATTATTTTATATTTACTTTTCATTTGTAAAAATTGCACAATGGCATTTTGTTGATCTGTACACACAGGTCTCCACCGAGAGACCCTGGGTTTCAATGGGTTCTTTATAGAGTACGTCTCTTTGTTAAATCCACTATTGGAGGAAGGCCTTACTGTGCCATGTCCGTCGTGAGGGTTCTTTGACCATACCTCACAATGCTGGTGAGTGAAGGAGGGGGGGTGGGCACTAGTTGAGATATCACTTGCCACCAATGCTTAGCTGTGGCCGGAAATCAAGTCACTTGGTTTACAGCATAGTGCGCAAGTGATTGTTTAGCTGCTTTATTCGCACAAATATTAACAGACTTCTAAGATTCAATGTATCGTGACGACTAAAGGTCAATTTGATTCAATCGTTTTGCCATCTCGCTTGTTCTATTATTCCGCACGCACGGTAACGTGCATTTACTTTGCGTTCAATCATAAATAATCAATTCATGTGTGCACAATTCAACACGTGTGTGTGTGTGTGTATATACACGCCGCAGGATGACGAGAGATGGCAAAGGCTTGGAGAGTCTTCCAACCAGCAGTGGATTGATCGTGCCCGACGATGCTAATTTTATATCGTGAGCGTAGGAATCAATTGTAAGTTGGTGAATCGTTACAAGCCTACCGAACTGAGCTCCCAGCGCGGCACAGGGAGGGGACCCGGAGACGGGCGGGCTCTTAAAAAACCACATACACCTGGCCCCACACGTTCTCACCGCTGCATCAAATATTCTCAGAGTACCACGAGGAGTTCGTGTCACTGGCACATGGGATCGATGACAACGAAGGCACTCCGAACATCTCAACACCGACCGACCGCACACATTCCGCCTTCCAAGACACATTCAGCACCTGTGGAATCAGGCTTGAAATCCAGGCTTCATATTTACTCATTTTCCACTACCACATCTGAGCTGAGCCAGCACGATGGCCCTGATCGTACGGGTCGTTTTTCCCACTGGCTGTCGTGCTGAGGCGGAACTGAAAATCGTGATACACTGCACTCAGAATACATCTGAATTTGGCTTGGGGCAAAACAGGGCCAGGGGCACGGCTATTAAAATGTTCATTACATATGTATGTTTAACTTCATTCGCACTGTACATGGCCCACCCGTGCTACTATGAGGTGCGTGTGATGTCATTGTGCTGTAAGGACACGTCACCATATCATTCTGTGCGTGTGATGTGAACAGCACGGCTCTCGGGTTCTGCAGTGGAAAAATCTCACGCTTGGCACGGCTCGGTTATGTAGTGGAAAAAGAGATATCTGAGGCTCGACAACTGGCTGCTTGTGGTCACACAATTGGATTTCTCGCAACTCCCTGAATGAACGGCGCTCGTTTAGTTGATTGTATTTGCATAATGAGCTGTACTGCACTCCTTTGACGAGCTGCTGCTTGCGGTGTCCGCAGCCCACCGTCACCCACTGCTGCTGTGCGCTTCGCCACCCTTTGTTCCCGTGCTGAGCCAACACGAGAAACACGCTTCTTGCTATATATAACATTGGTCGGTGCCCTAATGTTCCGATACCTTAAAAGAGGAAGACCAGACTCAAAAACAAACAGCGCTAATTTCCAGGTAGATATGTACCTTGGCTGTGTGTCCAGCCTATTCAACAAGAGTTGAAAGCTTCATTAATGAGAACAGAAGACATTAAAGTGACTTGAAGGTGCATTCTAGCGATGTCTCGGTAGTGACATCTGAAAGTAAGAGTGTGGTATTGGCTGTGACGTCAGGGCGTGTAACGAAACACCGATTGAAATCGATTCTTACACTCACGATACATGTATCAAGTCGTGAGTGAGAATTGACTATTTTCAATTCGTATTCAGTGCAAGTTGGTTCACGTGGCCCTCCAGCCACAAGAGGCACTACTACATTCACCACTGTTAGGAAAAATCACGAATTATTTAATTGTATCGCAGACCCAGAATAATGAGAATCTAATCATTGAAGGGCGAATGGTTGCACGCTTGATGAACTCAATCGCTCGAGGTGGCCTGAAAGTCACCTGAAAGTATGTTTTGTCATTAATGAAGCTTCAAACTCTTGTCGAACAGCCCAGAGCACATCGCCTGAGCATGTAACTACAAGGCGATGAGAACGGTTTGATTCCTGAGTAGCGTCTCTGTGGTCACATATCACTGCCTCAACCCACGTCCAATTCCAACAACCTCACACAGTAGCCAACATCGTCCGTCTGTAATTCCTCAATAAAAATGACACCCCTTTCTATCTTAAACCGACACAAACCATGGACGTGCTACGCCTGCCAACCTCTGCCCTATATTGCACACGCATCTTAAGAGAGACGTTTCAGTCCGCGCGCGCGCACACAATCGCAGTCCTTGGTCACGCGCTCAGATCCACGCTTTGTTCAGCTCCCAACTTCGCATTCTAAATGCTGCACCCCGACCGAGGCAAGAACTTCACCCATAAGGTGCAAAAGGGCCCAATGCATTGACACCACGGGTATCATACGGGCCCAAAAGGGCCCAAGCTTCGTTACTGTAGAATCATCCTTTGTGAAAACTTGTTGCTATCTCTAAAAAAAAAACTAAACACTGTTGTTTTTTTCTTACAAAAGTTTCCGGAGGTCATGCTAGAGACCTATCTGAACTTCACACCCTCAGTCCACCACTTTGGCCAGAAGCTTCATTCGTCCGAATTGTTCTTCAGAAACCCACACCGTCAAAGATTTTTCCCGCCGTTGAAACTTTCGCGACGCTGGACGTCTTGAAGCGACGAGGAGGTAGGTGGCCCTTGCAATGTGAACACTGCCTTCTCATCCTCCTGTCTTCTCGCCCATCACTCACAGCTCCGTCAGACTAACCTTCTTAACGCCCTCCCCCCCCCCCCACCACTGCTTCCTCTTTCAACAAGTGAGGGGGGCAGGCTATACCATACAAAGCTTATTGTCAACCCCTTCAGCATTCAACCTCACAACTCCTCTGCACACACACACACGCACGACGCTCACACTCGTATCCGTCTCTGGAATGTGCGGCTTCACAGTTGCTAACATCGTCAGTCTCACCGCTGTTTTTGCAAACTTAAATATATATATATAAAAAAAAATATTTTTGCTGTATCGCCCGCCCCACCCCCCCGCCGGGCAATCCATCTCCTTCACTTTCACCTCCCTCCCAACCACCTGTAAGTACCCTCCTTCCCTCTCGCCTTCCCGTCCTCTTTAAAAGTCTAAAAAGTGATTGGCTAGGGAAGACGCCACAAGCCTTAGCAGTGCCATTTCTTCCTTTGTAAACATTTTAAATAGATTTCTATAAAACAAATAAGCTTCACGATAAAATATAATGAAAAAAAGCTGCTAAAAAAAGCGAAAATATGAATAAAAATACAAAGTAACAGAGACTATAAGTTGTACACTCGGCTCAGTGTAAACATGGAAAGAGCTTGCGTTTCAGTTTTTGTTATTTTGCTTCAAATAAACAAAAACAAGGATGCTGCGGAGTCGCGCGGTCAACCTTGACCCTTGTGCTTCATCGATGGCGGCCGGGGAGGTCACGGCAAGGTCGTGGTAAGGTCACGGGATGTCAGGGAACGAGGACATCACAGTCATGCGACAGGTCCGGGCGTCTTCCCGGGAGGTGTGCTTTGGTTAAAAAAAAACCGTGAAATAAAACGAGCGAAAGGCGCTCTTTCCGCCGTCCCACGCCCCGCTGAAGCCCGCCACTGCCGCCCCCCCGGGACGTGGAAAAGATGGCTCTCGATGGAAACTCCTATCGTGGGTAGCTTCTCCACTCTCCAGGCGTGAGAGCCGGCGGTCTAGCCACGGTCGTTAAGACCGCTCGCACCACCCTCGATGGCTTTTGTCGCAAGTAGCCGGACTGCAAATCCACGGACGATCGCCACGATGGGCACACACAGGCGAGCAGGAGACTCATCACCGGGGCCTTCGGAGCTAAACGTCGGGGCCTTCACAAAGTCTTTCCCAATGCCACAAAGGCTGCAGGGGGCCCTTCATCAATCAATAAATCGATTGGTGACATCCGCGCCACAATGTGTGTCGTTCATGCGGTAAAAAAAACACTACCTCTCTGTCAATGCTCAATTTTCAGGCAGTCCGGTCCGTTAATAACGAGGGCCGTGGACGGGTCATGGGTGGGAGCGAGGGAAGCCGGTTCAACGGCTGGCTCGCCCGCACTCGGCTCGTCAGCTTTGCGCCGGGTGGCCCTGCCCATGCATGCCATCGACTATGCTGGCGATTGCGTCCCAGTGGCGGCAGGTGAGTGCGGCAGCGGCGAGGGCCATGAGCGTGGAGAGCACTCCGCCGCGAGTACGCAGAAGCGGTGCCAGGCAGCTGGTGGCGGCCGACACGCACACGAGCACCACGGCCACCACGGCCAGCAGCACGTTGATGAGCTTGCCCAGCAGCGCGCGGGCATCCGCGCTCTCCAGCCCCTCCAGCTGCACGACCTGCTGCTGCTGATGCTGCAGCTCCAGCTTCGACACGCGCGTCTGGCACGACTCCAGCACCTCCTGGGAGTCGCGGGTGGAGAGGGCGGAAGGTGGGGGCCGTGAGGGGAGAGGGGTGATAGGCGACCGTCGTAGGTTGGCGTCGATTGAGTGAGCGAGCGAGCGAGCTGGTGATGGGGATCTCACCTGCGTGTCTCGTGCTCGCTCGTAGGCCTGGTACGCCACCTTCTCCTCCATGCTCACCAGCTCCTGCCTCAGGTTCATCATCTCGTTCTGGTGGAGCTCCGTCAGGTCGTTGAGCTGCTCCTCCAGA